CCAGTGCTCAATTCATTTTTCACTATGTAGATTCGTTGCTCCACAACTATTCACGAAGACATCTCCGAATGAACAAGAATGGAACGTGTCAATGAAATTGACGAGCAAAAAACTTTCATTAGGGAAAGAAATAATCTAGCCTGAGTTTGGAGCTGGTATCAAATTATATGATTCAATTCAATTCAATTCACATTTATTTCTAAATCTTTAAAAATCATAAACAAATACAAAATATATGTCATGTGCAACAAAAAAGATAATGACAAAGAAAAGGAAGCCAACAAAAAGCAAGGTCCCGCAAGTCCATCGAAATGATTTGCAACTCAGCAATGTCCGCTGTATTAATTGTTAACTCTGTTTTCTGCTGTGAGTATTTATTGTTATTTTATTAATTTCAAGAGGGGGCTCAACGCATTACTCAAATACTAATTATATGCTGAGTATATAACAATGAAGCAACAAAAATTGGTTCATTGACAAATTCAACGATGGTGATAAAGATTGTAATTATTTGTTTCTAGAAAACATTCATTCACTAGGATTGGGATATTCTTATTGAAGAATTTAAAAGAAATTGAAACAAATTCAGGAAATTGTTATTTTACATTTGAGAAAAGGATTTTTAGATAGACCTGGGCCCCGTAACACAAAAACAAGTTAGCAATTTGCTGCTATTTTGCAGTTAGCCATGATGTACAACCAATCAATTCATTGTACAATTGATTAATTAATCGTACAATCATTTTATTAGCTGGTGTTACATGGCCCTTACCTAATAGATGTTATCTGTCTTTTAAGAAATGTTGTGTTACAAACAGAAAGGGTTTTTCCCCATTCTTCAAGGTCACGTGATAATTAGTCTTGAATAGGAAGTAATTTATTATTGTTTTACGTGTGGTCAACTTTGGAGTAAAAATCAATTGAATTTGAGAATTTCGGATCGTCCAGGATCAAGAGGATAGGACAACGTCACTGTGACGTCATCATGACGCGTAAGGTAAGCGGGAACCTTAAGCAAGACTTTGGTTTTGGCGTGAACCTGAGAAAATTGCTGAAATATTAATTGGAAGTAAATTGGTATAGCATAGCCATTGCAGGATTCTAATGGCATCATCGCAGCAGGTGTATTTACCGCCGGCAATTTACCTTCTGCAGAACGGAGTGATTAGAGGGGAAAATGTGTATTGTGTCTTATGTGGAAATCGGAAGTAATGCTATAATGGGCGATATAAAATCACATCCTGTACATTTAGTTCAGCTTTTTAATCTTGGTGCTCCTGAAATCTAAGATGATCTTTTTTCGTTCTGCTTCTGAAGGCGAATTTAAGTCAATACATTACTATCCATTTCTATAGTGATGCCCCACCACTCCCAATGCCTCCCGCCCCTCCCGATGTCTCTCTCTCTCTCTCTCTCTCTCTCTCTCCCCCACCCCTTTCTCTCTCAACCCCCCCCCCCCTCTCCCTCTCTTTATCTGATTAATACTAATCGTTTTTCATACACATAGTTAATGCATTCAACAAACAAGTCGTGGAATACTTTATACTTTTCACATCTCACCTGTTTTAAAATCAATTTGCTCTCAAATGAATCCAGGGGGAAACCGAAATCTGAGCCAAAATTGCAATTACGGATAACCTAGAAACGGTTTTACTGCCTCGGTTTCAAAACCTACTTTATCATTGCTTGATCACAATTTATCTTGAAACCTTATTTTTTCATGATTACGTGCAAATGTTCTGGATTATTTCATTCAATCCAATATGAACCAATCTGTTTGCAAATATTTCATTTTCCTGGAAGTGTATGCATGAATTACTTGCGAAAGAAATTAAGAACATTGGATACTTTTACAATTTATCCAACGCTGAATCATCGATACAAATTGCCATACAATAGCCACTGGACAACACTAAGCAACAAGCTACAAATTACTTTATTTCGTTTGGGAAATGGCATAGATATGGGGACACAGAGGGCATGTCTCCCTTGGGAGAGGGGCTTGGGTAAGACAGGTTAAAGTTAATTGTTATGCGATCTACACGAGACATGAATGTGATCGAAATTTCTTAAAACTGAGATGGTATAATGGTATTATTCCAAAAGCATCGTCATACCTAAGCGAGGGGAATACCCTGCCCGAACATTGCGACCAAGCGCAAGTCTCATTACGCAGCAAAAATTGCTCGTTTTTCTGCCCGATTTTTTTATCTTATTTAAAACAACGATCATATTTACGACTTGCTCGTTGTCTAAACCTATCCCCATCACATCAATCAAAATACGTCAAGAAGAATCCCCTTCCTGGTATTAGTCATGCAGTTAGTTTCTCCCATTCGCAGCTCAAAAGCGCTCAATTAAGCGCGCTCCTTCCTCCACGTTTAACTAATCAAATTCTGATATCGATATTCGGGTCGACAGGTCCCCGCTAAACGCGTTTGCAACAGATGAAAAAGAACTTCGTAAGGCTGTTGATGTTTTGAAGGATTAAAGGTATCGTATCATTACTTCGTATCATATTCACTGGCTGTCTACAAACGTAACACATTCATCAGAGGGAATTTCATGATTTTGAATCTGAAAAGTGAGATTCTGAAGTCATCTTTAGGATCTATGAAATTGTTTACACAGAGCTTCATCAGTGCTCCTGTTGAGGGCGCTAGTAGCATCAGGTACTCATTTAATAAACCTGGGTCTAGAGAGTCAAATACCCATAAAACACCTTGTTAAAGATGTATAAATTGAGCTGGAATCGAACCCAGGACCCACTCGGTAAGAGCCTCACCATTTCACCAATATACCACAGTCTTCCAAGATATGCATGGGAACGCAGGCATAAGGAACCAAAATACAGATACATTTATTTATTAGTCTATAAATATACGTGAATAGACGTGTGAAAGAATGAAATGAAACTAAGACGAAAAATTCCCTTTGTATAACTATATAATCACTTCGCTATAGAGACGACATTGAAAGAGGTATTTATAACTGTGCTCCTTAAGATGATTATGAAACATTCTATTTATCTATTCGCCCTATTTTCAATTATTGCAAAAGAATGGTAACGCTTTAACTGGATTGAGTCTGGATATTGCATCGATTTAGCCTGTCTCGTTAGAGGGCACCGCGAATACATCATACTTAATGGTGTCTATTCATATCTATTTATCATCTAGCTGGACCCGAAATGATCGCCGATTGTATGATAATTTCTCTTTCATTTTCGTTACAATGGGTCGTCTGACAGTGTGGTGTGATAGGCACACGTACTGAATCACCATTACGACATCCACTGCCAAAATGACAACATCGAACTGCCCTGGTCTTCAGCGGCGGAGGGCGGGTATGGATATTGAGGGGGGGGGGGGCGTTTTCGGTGGGGAGGGTATATAGGAACTAGTCTTACCCGGTGGATGACATTCAAATTGACAAGACCGATGAAAGGGGGGGGGGCGGTTGGGGGGGGGGGGCACCGGTCTTATATATTGAATAAAATCAAAATTGACAGTGCCATTTCGGAGAGTGGGGAGAGTGTTGGAAGGGCCTTCTTTCACGCCCCTTTCTCGCTTTTATGGTTCCATTTTTTTGCCAAGTCGAATGGGTCATAACTATTATGATCAACGGAGTAAACATCCATGACCTTTAATTTGATGGTGTTGGCGTGATAATTCAAGCCCCCAAAATAGTTTCTCTAGTTTCGATTCCAATTTCAGTTGAAAAGGTGGGCGAGCTTTAATGAGCAGAACAAAACAATGTACGGGGGTTGGTATGGTATAGAGCGGTATATGACTTGTAAAGATGCCAATTAACCTGCGTGGACCTACAATTTGCAAGTTCTATTCTAGCAAATGTCACACCAATAAAAGGCAAATTCTGAATTTTGCATGGTCAATAAACTTGAATCTTGAAAAGAATCTTGCGAACAGTCGCTGAAATCTGTGAGCGATCTGAGCCCATTTCAAAAGTTTATTTTTTCTGATGCATTTTGAAACAATGTGGAATTTGGTTGTATCTCGTGGAGGTGGATGACTTCATCTCCGGAGCTTAATCGGTTTGGAGCTAAGAGGGCGATTGCTCAAATACCTTAACACAAGCTAACGGCTTTTTGGCACTGGACCGACCGCTTTGTTCTCGCTCCGGATGTTGTGTCCAGTGAGGCAGGAATGCATCATTCTGTAGTTGAGATGAAATATGATGATGATGATGATGATCTTTTAGACAGAGATGGAGAGATAGGAGGAGGGGATGGGAGGGAGGCATGAGTCACCGTGATGACGGGGGTCACTGACCGAGTGGACAAGAACAGATGAGAAACATTGATAAACGAGATGACCAGTCATACGTATAATAAGAGCTGTATATAAAGTGATGACCATTCGTAGATGTAGGGACCATAATTGGTGAAACAAACGAAATGACCAGTCATATTTGGGAGGGAAGTGGAAATATGGGTTGTAAATTGAAAACGTGTAGCGATGCTGGAATCAGTTTGTAAATATGGGAATCATTTTATGAGGACATGACATGGCGCAAATATAGTTAATTTGAATTGGCGTAAAACGGGAAACAGAACTAATGTATATACATATGTATATCATTTTGATCAGCCTCAAGTGTATGTGGAGGATCGAAATCGTAAACAAGAGTGAGAGGGGGGGGGGGGGTGGGTGGAACAGAGAGAGAGAGAGAGAGAGAGAGAGAGAGAGAGAGAGAGAGAGAGAGAAGAGGGCGGAGAGCATTGGGGAATAAGAGGAAAGGGATCGAGAGAAAGAGCGAAAGAGGTGACCGCTGATACGGGTATGCCTCTTTATTTTATAAATTAATCTGCCTGAGGATTAAATTCAGGGTTAGGTTATAGGTTTAGAGTTTAAGTGTGGATTATGGTTTTTAGGTTTGGGGTTAAGGGATTGGGGTTAGGGTTTGGTTAAGTTTTGAGCCGGTTTGCATTACAAAAATATTATTTAAAACAAATTGCATATTTGTTTGATCTACCGCAGGATTTAGATGTAAGGATAGCTCCCCTCGTCGCCACCGTGAACGATGACGCCCTTAAAAACACAGTACTACAACCAAGACAACCGTCGAAGATCGCCAACCTCCTTAGCGACCTCATCGACGAGGTCGGTTCCAGTGAATCGACGTCGATATCTTCCGCCTTATCGTCACTATCGAGTGAACATTTGTTTTGGGGAAAGAGCTTCAGCGACGCCCGCCTTTTCGATGACGTGGTCAGCGCCGATGATGAGGGGCTGTTCGCTGATCGGGCCAGGGCAGCCGGTACTCGTACTCGATATCGCACCGGAGAGCCTGGTCTTCGACGTGCATCGGACGTTTACGGAGTCGACATGGCACCCGCCACGCAAAAGTACATCTCATTTACAAATGCATGTAAGTATATGAGTTCATTTCAACTAAATTTAGATGGGAGACCCAACATATTATGTTGAATGGGCTCCACTTTGAATAAATAAGTAGATAAATAAAATAAAATCAACCAATGAATAAATTCACTCGTTACATTTGTATATGTCAATTTGCATGTAGTTTTTGGAAATCCTTTTGAAGAACAGAGATTGCACACCACATAAAAAGATATTGAATTGATAAAACTATGTAGCCTACGTTTATAAAAAGCAGTCCGCTCCTTTCTCATCACTTCTCCTCAATTCCTTCTCTTTATTTCCCTCGTTGAATAATATTTTACCGACTTTAATTCTCTTATTAAAGAAACAAATCTTTACATGGCAAAGCGAAAGATTCTAATGAATTCGCGGTCAACGCTCCACCTACCCAAACTCATTGATCACATAAGACCCCTCCGATTGTTTGCAACAAAACCACCCTAACCAAATTGACCCCTCAAATTCCTGGAAACCATGATAATATTTACACTTTTCTGGTTTTTCATTTCATTCCCATCGATCTCGCGTTATAAATCCATCTTTATTGAGAACGCTTAATACGTGAGTATTCAGCGCCTGCATTGCTTGCTTTGAGGAATTTATTATCGTTTCCGCAGCTTGACAAATTGACAAAATGGTTTCTTTTGAAATGGTTTTATTGCCTTCTGCACGTCTCCCATCGATCATGACAAAAATAATAATGATAGAAGTTGTTAGTAAAGGTATGACAACAAGATAAAGGTAACGACGGATGTAGATAAAATAGAGATAACGAGAGAGAGAGAGAGAGAGAGAGAGAGGGTGGGGAGCGAGAGGGGGGGGGGGGGGGGTGGATGGTGGAGCGGGAGAGACCTTATAAGGACAAGTTTAAATCGAGAATATTGAGGGTGAAAGAAACAAAATGCATGCAGTAAATCCTTGGAGGGCAAAACCTATCCCCCAAACACGTAAATCACTAAAAAATAAATATATATAATATATAATATATAATAATAGTGGGTTCTTGTATATTGCATACAAAAGTGTGTAATGGTTAACTTAGTAAGAACAGAACTTCAAATAAAAACACAACAAAACAAAACATAAACACACGGAACAAGATATTAAAAGGTGTACCAGGGATGATAAAAATTGAATAGAGCAACGAGTGCCTGTAAACTGCGTCACTCTCAATGGTAATATATACGTAGTAGATAAGATGGCATTATAATACAGATTCTGATATTCAATTTCATACTGACACGATTCCTGTTTCGCGATGTATTATGATAACAAGTCCCTTTGAGAAAATTGAAAGAGATATTTGTTAAAAAGCGTACAAAAGTCTTCAAAACACAGCGGGGAAATATAAAAACCCATTCAATTTTGCCTCGCGAGGCGCATATATTCACGCTGTGTATATTTTTAATAAAAATACGGAATACACATTGTGAGCATAAAACTTTAAAGTTGGTTCCAAGTTCACCTGTATTTTGATTTCTTTCCTCAATTCTTTAACATGTTTACAAGAAGCCATGCGTGTGCAATTATAACATGTTTATCGCGACCACCTGCCAAAAAGGGGGATTTTTCCTGATATTTTTATAACGAGGCAATTACACAATGCTGAACTGCGTGGGCTGGGCAATGTGAAAGGTATCTAATTTGAGCCCAATTTTCACAGACAATAGGGGAGATTTCCTTTTGTGAGGGAGTGATGACTTTATCACTTATATCTCCTCCAAAGTTCGTGACAATAAAACCATACATTTGGTTGGGATAGGACTTTAAGTTCTCGTTAAAAATCTTGTTTACCAGGTCAGTGGATTGCAAGCAGAACTCAAACCGGACCAAGAATCGCTGATAATACTATTCATGATCATATGACTCATCATCATTTACACAAGCGTGTAACTTCATCACATGGTTCTGTTCAAATGCATTCTGCCATGAATATTATGTCCATGAGGTACCTGTCGAATGGGTTACATAGAGAGAGAGAGAGAGAGAGAGAGAGAGAGAGAGAGAGAGAGAGAGAGAAAGAGAGAGAGGCTAATACATTTCCTACATTTCATTTCAAAACATATACCTGATTATATATACTTCTCTAAGATCGATGATGCACTGCCATGTGTACGCCAATGCATAGAATTCATTGGTGGATGGGGGGGGGGGGGGGCATCGGGATACGTGCCACCCCCCCCCCCCCCCGAAAAAAGGGGGAATCTTGGACTGCAGAGATTTGGATTGTTTCGCTTTGTTTTGTTATTTGTTTTTGCTTGTCACATATTTGTGCGCCCCCCCCCCCCTCCTGCTATAGAGAATCTAGAATCCGCCAGTGGGAATTACTTCGATTTGAGCTACAAAATAAATGCGTGTTTACCGCAGTTGTGCTACAAAATGCACACACCTGCGTTTACAAATTTGCGGTTTACAAGAATTTGAAGTTTGGACTTATATCGCGAAAGAGTCTTTCTGTTTCTTGATATGTCGTTTTTTCTTCTCCCTGTTTTGAGCTTCTACGACTGTTTGTTTGTTTACAGTTCTTGTTGTGGGCCAATTCAATACACTGGTTCTAATGTTATGATGAAGAACGACTGTGACACCAAACGAAACTCTTCACATTCTTGGAATTCCTGAAGAAGTTATATTTGTTCTGTAGGATATTTTGAGATAAACGGTCGGTCAATTTTATGAAATTACAGAATACTGTAATTGTAAATGTCGAGATCTAAACTATATGTTTTAGCTTCTGAAAATACATGCAGTGCTAGGCAGTTGGCTCGGTCATATTGGTACTGTTTGGAAAAGGAATGACGCAGCGAAAGGAATAATTAGGCTTCCGAATTAGTTAGGGCACCAATGGCAATTTACGAAGAATTCGAGCCTCTTATTGCAGCACAATATAGATGAGAGTTCAGAATGTAATCTGTATGATGTATATATATATAGGTCATCTTTAGTTAAATTATAACTTCAAACAAGGATGAAAATGAAATGGAGAGAAAATATAATCTGCCAAAAACAGAATTTTTTTTCTCTCCGACAAAAGGAGGCTGGGCGATATACCCCGGTCCCGCCATCATGCAACGAGACCTACAGCAGACCGAACAAAAACCTATATTACTCTCAAATAGCCGAGAACGTGCCACTTCTGAGATACTATGCGCATGGGCAGATAAAGGTGTTCATAAAAGTTAAGTTATCATTGTTCATTTATGCGCCTGCGGTACATTCTATGATACACAGGTGGAAGTATCTTTTTCAAGAGGGCAAATAATAGGTATTCAAGTAGCAGCTCCACTACTAATGGCAGTGATTACTCTGAAAGCATTAAGTGGGACGTCTTCATGTGTAAAGGGTCATTTTGTACAAGTGCTATCCACAAAGTGGTTTATAGGGAGGTATTGTGTCGGTTTGGAGTAGGTTTGTCGATGTGACTGAGGTATTACAAAGAAGTCCTTGATAACCAGAGGAGCACAAATGTTTTTCTTCAACCATTTCAATGGTAGAGAGTGATGCATACCAATGATAGCAGTGACAAAGACATCAACATTTTATTGAACTGCATTGTCATATTATATCCAATTTCTAAGAAAGTCTAAACGGGTTACTCCCAATACCGATTCTTCAACGCCTTTTCTCACTTCTTTAGGTACGGTCGCCATAGCAACGTTACGTCCACGTGCCACCACCCATCAATCAAATTAATAGCTCTGTACCAAACCACAGTTCTGTCTGATGCTTTTTGACAACTTGTTTTGCATACCTTGGTATCTGCTACCAATCTATACGTGACAACCGATACTAAAGTCTAAAATGTTTAGTTAACGGCTCTCCTCTCAATCATACTTACCTTGATGGACAATAGAATGTCTAACACACTCAGTATGTTTTCCTTGTATCAACATCACCCGAGTCAAGTCAACTTACATTCCTCGTAATTTGATTGACAGGAGCCTGCTAAGAAACTCTTATTTAATTTTCAAATTTCCCGTCATCATGCCTTCGACGGGTTTCAATGTCAAGCCCAAAGTTTAGTAAGAGACAAAAAGATATACGCGATGAAAAGCCCGCGGAGTTTGTTGTTTGTGCCTGCTATAGCCTTTCAAATAGTTTAGCAAATTTACATGTCTCGTCCGATTGACTAAGGAGTTGTATGACGTACATGACACTGTGAAACTTACCATCGTAAATAGTACATTCCTGCTACTTAAGATCCACTCCCCTGCTGACGTAGCTATAATAAGATCACCAGCAAACTCAAAATATTTAACTTGAAATAAAGTGATCCAAAATAACTCACCGAGAGCTATGATTATATGGCATAGAAAAAGATGAAAAGAAATCAGGCTGTAAATGAATAATATTATTAAAGGGCATCCCTATCGGACAATATAATATTTTCCTGTTAAGTGATAATTAAGATAGGTCCATGTTTTATCAACTTCAACATATTTCGATTTCATGCGCGATTGTTACTGTTATGAATTAACTCATAATTCAAGTAGACTTAATATGATATCGAAAGTGTGCAGTTTAAAATGCCTGCCAATTCAGGATTATTGCAAATTACTGCACATTTTACAAAATGTCGATTGCCTTTGTTTTGAACACATGACCGCCGGGTGATGGACATTTTGTAATAACATGTAGAAATGAGGACATCCTTTGGCTGCCTACGTAATGAAAGGATTATAAATGCCATACTCCCAAAACCAACTTATAGGAAATTAAAGATTTTAATGGATCGGGGAGAATGGAAGGTTAATTCCTTATGGGAGGGACCCCCGCCGTCTGGTTTATTTCTGTTCGTATCGTAGAATATAAATATTATGATATACTGTCATAATCCAAACGGGGGCTGAACTCAAATTGGATATCCGTTTTCCCAAGCAGCCCTTTTTATGGAGGAAATTTGGTATAACAATGGACAGAGGCGTGCGTTGGTCAAAAAATGGGGGAGGTAGAGGACCAAATCGATGAATAACTGCAAGTGAACGAGGCCATCGAGTGGGAATGGTGAACTATTATTTTTACGTTGCCTGCCTTTCTCTTTCCTTTTCTTCCTTCCTTTCTTTCTTTCTTTAACTCTATCTTTTCAACATTCGTGGGGGAGAGGGGAGGCGTGTCCCCCATGCATCCTGCCTTGGCGCTATAATTATACGCCTCCGACAAGGTATTAGACTGTTCAGACTGTTATAGATTGTATGCATTTGTAAACTGATTAGGCTACACCGATATTTAGGCATCCAATACCAGTGATCAGATTTAGAGCTATTTTTTATGATTTTTTAACTTTATAATGAGTTTCGATTGATCCGAATCAATCCCAAATTTTCAATCCCCTATTTCTTATGTACATAGTTGCGATTGAAAGCAATCGCAAATAAGTTGCGATTCATCGTTTATAAGACTCAACTGTTTATAAGACGGGGCTCGGGCCACAAAGTTGTCATCTTTTTCGGATAGGCATGGTAAAAAAAAAAATGGTCTTCAGTTTGTCTTTACTAAACTCTGCGAAAGTACAACGTACCAATCTAATCTTTCGTAACAAAGAAAAATATGAAAATCCCTAACAAAATTTGGCACACAAAACATTCGCAACTAAATACCCCGTGAAGACAAAGATTGCTCTGCAATCTACCCGCTGTGCTGTACATCATTATACAAACTCATTTTTTGATAAGTTACCAAACGAATGTCTGGGAAGGTTGGTCGGCTGACTAAAGCTACTCGATACCATGGTGATGATCCCAATATCACATTTCATACACTTAAAAAAACCCCGGTATGTTGGCTCAGTCAGTAGAGCGTCCGCCTCACAACCGGGAGGTCGTGGGTTCGAACCCCGGCCGTGTCATACTAAAAGACGGGAGTTGCTGCTACCTTGTTTGGCGTTCAACAATAAGGGAAAGAGCAACGTCGATCTGGCGCTGCTCAGTGGCTGCCGGGCTCACGATCAATTGGGCAAAAAGAATTTCCATTTTCGGTTTAACTTAATAAAATTTGGAGTGGACTTTAAAAGATTATTATTATTAAGTACGATACGACAATCATCAGATCATGTTTTGGGGGAGAGAATTTGAAAGTCATTTAGCAAATCTTTCTGACAGAACGTGTTTCTTTCTTATATCAAAATTAGGCCCTCCGGGCGTCGCTTTCTTTTTAAACATAGCATAAGGGGAGGGGGAGTGCACCCTAATAATTTCGGAAAAGATCTGCGTATCAAATGCTATATTTAATTTCAGATTATTTTTGTTTTCCCCCATATCCACTCCATGAAGATGGCTCAACACCCCTGCAAAAAGGAGATCAGAAATAAATTGGCAATGGTCCGACCTACTCTGAAACCACCGCATATTTGTCCTTGGCGTTCATTTAAAGGGAGTTGAAATAGCAAAACTATAATTTTTAAAAGTTCAAGTTAAATTGAAATACAGATAAACCTTATTCAAATAAAACCCTTGGATTAGCAAATTTCTTGCTTTGTTTGAAGATGGAGCGACATAATTATAGTTATGATCTAATCGAGACAAAAACAACAAAAAGCGATCGCAAAACATCCGAAAAATCATCCCGAAGCAATTTCCTATTGCCTTTTCCTTCACCTCTTTGAATATCACGTGGATACATTATTTTTGTCAGCGGAAGTTTCATTTTCATTTTATCGTATAAATCTGGAAAGTATATCCTGCTGAGCAAAACACCTACAATAAAGAATAATATTTCATTCCAGCTTGTTATACATTGCAAATTGGTATTTTAAGTGATGACAGTATCACTTCATTGACTTGTCAATGTTTTTGTTGTTTCCTTCAATCTGGGCCCCGTTTTATAAAGAGTTGCGATTGATCCGATCCAAGTCTCATATCTCTTATGTACACAGTTGCGATTGATATCTATAGCGAACAAGTTGCTACTAATCGCAACTGTTTATATATGATGTTATAAATGATTATATACAAATGCTTAAGTTCATAATTTTATCAGTTTCACCATAATTATGAGGAGGAACATGTTATTATAAAGGCTTATTCAACTCTAAGCCTCAGGAACAGTCGGAGGTATAGATTCTCGATCAACCTTGACGAGGGAGCCTACGAGATAGAATCGAATGATAATAATTAGCTATTAATCAATTAAGAGAGCTTCCTTTTTAAGGTGAAGCGTTTAAGAATAAGAGACCACTTGCGGTACATGCGGTGTAACGTCAACAGGCATTCGGAAAACATCATGGTGTTACTGCTACAACCACATTGAAAGGATAAAACAATGGCATATTCATAATTTTAAAAATGGGAGGGGTAGGTACTATGGTCACGCCAGCGCTTAGGAGTAAGGGGTATTCTTCCCATGGCCAGAAAATGCAAATATTATAGTGACGAGTTCAGGATTATTATTATTATTATTTTTTTTTTTGGGGGGGGGGGGCGGGGGAGGAGTCCAAATGAAACTATCTGACAAAACAAAATACATATATAAATCGATGAATACCAAATCGTTTTTTGCTGGTGGCATCAGGGGCCATTTACATATATTCTTTTAAAAATAAATATTTATATATATGTACTTTATTTATGTCATATTAGGATTTGGGGGCGTCCTCTGTACCCCTAGATCCGCCACTGAAATATTTCAAGCCATTCAAATTTAATCTTGGTAATACTTTTGGCGATATTCTGATGTATGCTTACATTCATAAATCTTTCTATCTTGCAGCCTACGGTAACTGTGGAATGCGACCGCCCCGCGTACCCGGGGTTCAGAGGATAGCGGCAGGGAGCAATGCGGTCGAGAGATGGCCCTGGCAGGTTATGCTCATCAACGCTACTACCGGGGTACCATTTTGCGGGGGCACTCTCATTACCAATGAGCATGTTCTGACGGCAGCTCATTGCTTCCATGGGTAAGCCTAATTTGTTGCCATGGTGATCATCCACATTATACTTGTCATCGTAATGTACCATTGTCACAAATAATACATTGTTGGTAACTCTACCACCATCACCACCACCATCATCATCATCACCGCCATCATCAATATCACCATATTCCTCCTTCTCCTCCTCATGCATTCCCACCACCACCACCATCATCGTCGTCATCATCGTCACCATCAGCATCATCAGCATCATCATCATCACCATCACCATCATCATCGTCATCATCATCACCATCATCATCACCATCATCATCATCATCATCACCATCACCATCATCGTCATCATCAACATTATCATCATCATCATATTCCTCCCTCTTCTCCTCCTCCTCATCATCCCCATCATCATTTATCATCATCATCATCATCATCATCATCATCATCATCATCATCCTCATCATCATCTTCCTCATTGTCATCTCCATTAACATCATCTGACTCACCACCATCATCATTATCATCATTGTAATCAAGATCGTCATTATCATCATCTATATCTTTCACGAAAGTTATGATTGTTTTCACTATGTCCGTCAGCACTATAATGATCACGGCAATGTTGGTTATGATTACTTCATGTAATAAGGCTTGATTAATACTTCTTCGAACAAACTACCAACTTTGTCTGTTGACCTTATGCAGTGGATCTACGACATGAAAATATGGTCTACCTCATTTCAAAATAAATTATCAAAACATACATGTATACACAAACATTTATGCGGGTTCCGGTTCGACGTTGAAATTAAATTATCAAGACACCATCAAATCATAGATTCGGTCTGAAGAAGTTACACACTATCCGGCAAGTTATTGAGAGTAATAGACATTCCATTATTATTATTGAAAGAATCGTGTTCTTGAGGCGAAACACATGTTGTAAATGTTTGTCGCTACCCAATTTTCCAATCAATTGTTAACAGGTTCTGGAGAAAAGGTAAACCATATTTTTATGTCGGTTTGGCGAAGGGAAGACATCGTTATACCTTGGAAAACGCAAGTTACATGTTGTGATAGCACAGATGGTCCATTGGTATCCCCCCTCAAATTCTTTTTACCTTGAAATGTATTACCATGGACGTATTAGACATTCAAGTTTGCATAAGGACCGTCTAAAGTATATTACTGACATCTCGAAAGTATATATATAATTATGATTGATATATGTGGTGTATTATTTAAGTGACAAATTATATATTTCCACCCACCCCACCCTCGATTGATGTAGGTCTGATGTTGCGTTTTGCTTTTAGCGTATTTTTAGTTGATAACAAAAAAAAAATTGCCAATGCATGAATCGTTTGATTCTTTAACAATTATTTCATTTAAGCGAAAATAATTAGAATCTTGATCTTCATGACTCAATCTTTAAAAATCTGTATTCCTTTTCGTCTTCTTTCAATATCTGATTATTAGGAAGGACATTAGCGACATCATCATCCGCGTCGGCGAGCACGAGCTTAACTACGTCGACGGCTTCGAACAGGACTTCGGTATCGGTTGTCTCCACGTCCATCGGAGGTTCGACATCTCGACCTACCAGCACGACATCGCGCTCGTCAAGCTGGCGACGAACATCACGCACTCCGTCGAGCTGAGCGACTACGTGAAGCCGGCTTGCTTGCCCGAGGCGATGGAGTTCGAAGCGGGCGATTCCTGCCACATCACAGGATGGGGATACAGAGGTGAGTTTGTGCATCTTTTAGGTTTCCAAGGGAAAAGTAGTTTGGGCCGAAGTTTGGATCATATATTGTGATTGGCTATTGGGGAGGTAGCTAATTGGCGCAATTTTGTTTTAAGTTACATGTTAGCCATAACTATGAACAATGCATAAAGTTTTCTTAAGAAACGTAGATAGCAAACTCTGAATATCGAAGTCATAGGTTACGACAAATCGCAACTCTATTATAACAAGAATACAGCTGCAACGATGTCATGACTGAAAACGTGTCCCCAAATTTGCTCTAAAAAAAAGAAGATTTGATACAAAGAACAGACATGGTAGCCATTAAAAAGACAAAAAGCTTTAGAAACTCTTGGGAGCATTGAAAATGATAACAATGATTTGAAATAATGAAAATGGAAACATGAAAATAATCGGATTCAAGCAATGAACCTTTCTATTAAATTACATGTATGTGCATGACATAAGCGATAGAAAAATAAACTAAAACACGATTGCATTGCTTTGATCAAGTATAGACCTTAGCATTCACACTTGTTTTTATTTTGTTTTCTCTCTGTTTTGTTTAGGGTTCATAGACTGGTACCTCGGCACCCGCCCCGACACCCTCCAGGAGGCCCGCGTGCCTATCCACACCAACCGAGACTGCAAAAACGCTTACGGTACGCGCGTCAAAGCCAAGATGGTTTGCGCGGGTGCACAGCCCCCCGAAGAAAGAGCAGACACCTGCAAGGGGGACAGCGGGGGACCGATGGTGTGTCAGTCCGGAGAGACGGGCCCGTATAAGCTTTGGGGGATCACGTCATGGGGTGAAAATATATTCTGTGATCCGAACCCTTCGACATGGAGGCCTGGAGTTTATACGCGAGTAGAGAGGTACCTCAGGTGGATCCAGCGGAAGCTCAGGTCTAGGAAATGCTGGTGACGTCCAGAAGATGATGATGAACCCGGGAGATTACTTCGAAGGTGGAAATCCTAGATGGATTTTACCATTTGAAGCGGATTTTCTCAAAGGGAATCTTTCGAGCTGATCGTCCCTAAAGGTCGATTGGAGTGAATTAAGATATAAAGAGGGATTCCAGAAGAGTGCATAGTATTCCCGAAGAGATATTTGTTTGAGTTCCTGAAGGGGGTCCTTTCTAGCTGAAGGGCTGATGGAGAGTTACCTGATTCAAAGGGAGAGTCGAGAAGAATGATTCTTTAAGTGGTATTCCCGAAGAGAGCTGTTGGACGTTGGTTTTCCTCCAAGAAATCCTTCATACATGATGTAACTGATATTCTCGAAGGACCGACCGACAGAGGTTAATATGATTCGAGGGGAGTTTTTCAGACGATTATCATGTAGTTATTCCGGAGAGATATTTGCTGGAAGTCAGTACTCCAGAAGGGGGGCCATTTTGGCCAATATGCCTTTAAGAGCTAACATTCTTTGGAACTCGTAAACCCGAAGGGTGATCTTTTTAAAGCTGGTATTCCTGGAGAAAGATTCATGCCAAATGTTCATTCCCAAGGATGATCTATCCTAGCTAATATTTCAGAAGGAAGATCTGAGATCCTGAAGAGTGAAACTGGTATTCCCGATGGGACACCCTTGTGAAAGAGACGCAATCCTCCAGTAACGAGAGTGAATACCAAACTCAGAACACCTTAGACAGACCATGATGATATTGGCAGGAAAAGCAGGTCTACATCACAGTTAATTGTGGTGACCGGTCCTCATAATGGTTAAAAAAACACCTTGTATTCAGACTGAAACCGTGACAACTGTGTTTTCAAAACTATCATCTTGTGCCTGGTTTCATCAGAAGAAAACACAGTAGATGAGAGATGAAGAATAAATATTTAAATTATTAATTTATTTTTTGGTTGTCACAGAAACAATGAAATGTCAATAATTTGTAAATTGTGTATTTTATGTCAAGACGGAGGACAAAGCGCTGGAGGAAAATTCTGGTTGAAACCAGCCCATAAATTAAGCATTTGCTGGAGCAGAATGTCCTGTTCCTTTGCAACATCGCACATAGGGCGTGTATATATTATATATATGTAAGTCATACCATTCCTTGAGTAGAGTATTTAACTATTTATTGATTCACAAACTCTTAAAAATGGGTGAGATGAAAAGCTTTGAAATGTGTTTTCATGGTAAATTATTTAACAAGTACCGTCGGAGAAAGAAGTCGCCATTAAATGGACGACATTTATGTAAATTATTACCTATGTGTAAATTATACAAACGTACATTCATTTCCTCATTGTACAGTGTGTGAGAATTGCTATTTATGTAATAATATATTTATATAATAATATTAATATGTATTTATATTTTGTACTGCACATAACTTATATAATTTATGGAACGCTGTATGTATGTATTCTGTGTTGTTTTCGCCACGGGTCAATGTACTCTTGTACAATATTTGTACGATTTATTTTGTTCAACAGGGTATATTTGTCGTTTTGTATTTAAAGATGAAATAACCATTTTCGTTTCATCTCAAGCTAATTTTAAAAAAGAATCAGCGATGATCGAAATCACCGTTTCCATAAGTTCAGTCATATTTAAGCTATCCGACTATGTTGTAATTATAGTACAGCATAGTAAAAAAGAAGATACTATTTATACAAACGTTAGCATGGGGTGGAGAAGCAAGAATCAGATTAGGAAAAGAAAGAAATTAGAAGATTGATGCGAGAAAGGAAAGGAGGATGCTGCACGAGCTGCAACTTTAAAATTTGTCTCTAAACAAATATGAGCTTGATTTCATGGGTATATAACCCATGAAAAAGGGTCATGTACCTTGCATGAAAACGAATTGTATGAATTGGAACATCGCTCATTTCTCGCTCTCTCTCTCTCCATAACAATTCCTTGACAAGTTATGGGGATCAATGCAAGGCAAAGTTGATTGCTTTTTTGCTAGATAATTGATTGATTGATTGATTGATTGATTGATTGGTTTGATGATATGGCATGATGATGGCTACTGTCGTTGAACAATTACAAAATATATCTGTAGACAGTATCAAGTATTTTAACTGAAGAGCTGCACAATCTAACAATGATATGAACCTTTCAAAAGGACAAATAATTGCATTAAGGGAACTAGAGGCTCCTAATTAAAAATGTGCTGCATTGGCCAAATGCTGCTGAGAAAGAAAGAAGAGACAACTGGATGTTCATCACGTTCCTCTCTGTATTCAATATTTGGTGTTCTCGGTTGAAGGTGTATATTCAAACATGCACTGACCCATTTGAATTCTTCTTCTTCTGTTTATAATAATATACTGTACATGTTAGGATAAAAGATTTTGTTTAGAGATAAAAACGAAAAGTGTATATACTATTGAAATCACCCTTCAGCATTGCTGCATGTTAACTTTAACATCAAATCTTGCCATTATTAGATTCACATACCAAGAAATTAGTTTTTTTGATTTTTCATGATCCGCTTTAAATTTCAAAATATACCTATAGAGCAGTGTAACCAGGACACTGGATTAAACACACTTTATTCTGATGTAGTTGGTGTTATTGTAGTTACTGAAAATTTTCTCTAGAATCGGCCAAGATTAGGATCTAAATAAGAACCGGAAAGTTATCTCAACAGTTCAAGAAAGTGTATCAAATACATGTACAGTCAAACCTCTTAGTGACCACCTCTCTGTATTGACCACCTGTTAATAGTGGTCAGTCACCTACATTGTATTCTACTAGAATGTTGCACAACTTGTCTAGAAAGGCCATCAAAGACAATTTGTAGGCAAAGGCAAAGAGCAGAGTGTACCAATGATGGTACTGCTAGACCAACTCACATCTTTCCATTCCCTTTGGGCGGCCTTCATAGACAGGGTTGACTGTATTTATTTTCAATTTATATGTATTTATTTGTAGAAGATATAGAGTCTTGTCTCTATAATGGCCACCTGTTTATAGTGGTCATCATGTACACTGTATTCCACTAGAATGTTGCAGAACCTGTCTAGAAAGGCCACCTGTCGATGTCACCTCTCACTATTAAAACAGGGTCCTTCAAAGTCAATTTGTAGGCAAAAGCAGAGCGTACCAATGATGGTACTGCTAGCCCATCTCACATCTTTCCATTTCCTTTGGCAGCCTTTATAGACAGGGTCGACTGTACTTACGTTCAATTTATTCATAAGATGTATTTATATGTAGATTTTAGAAGATATAGAGTAGATTTTTAGTTGTATTGATGTAGTCTTGTGTGACCTTTATAGACAGGGTCGAGCTGTACTTGCTTTTAATTTATTTATTAGATGTATTTATTTGTAGATTTTAGAAGATATAGTAGATTTTAGCTGTATTGATGTTGAGTCTTGCTAGATATACATGTATGGGTACTTTATAGACAGGGATGACTGTATTTCCTTTCAATTTATTTATTAGATGTATTTATTTGTAGAGTTTAGAAGATAGTAGATTTTAGCTGTATTGATGTATAGTCTTGGTAGATAGATATACATGTGTACATGTAGATATGTTCGCAGAATATACATTATGTAAATTATGTAAAACAGGTTTACTTTGGGTGGCCTTTATAGGCAGGGTTGACTGTACTTGCTTTTAATTTATTTATTATATTTATTTATTTGTAGAGTTTAGAAGATTATAGAGTAGATTTTAGCTGTATTGATTATAGAGCCTTGATAGATATACATGTATGTGTACATGTCTATATGTTAGCAGAATGTAAGTTATGTAAATTATTTTGATGTGTACATCTTTGAAAGTACTGTGAGATGAATGTGATTAATAAATTATCAAGCACCAACAAAATACTGAAGTTTTCATGAATTTTAGCAATTGATAGTGAAGCAACACAAGACCAAGAGTTTATGAAAAAGGAAAACTTTTAAATGGGAAATATATTACAAATGAGAGGAGAGTAGCTTAAAATGGGCCAGTAAGTTTATAGAGAGAGAGAGAGAGAGAGAGGTGGAGGGAGGGAGAGAGAGAGATTGAAAAGTGTAGAGACACTATGTAATAAAAATAATGAATAAGGCCAAATAAAAAACAAAAACATGTTTAGCGTCCTGTTTTTTCGAAAAATAGGGAGGAGGCCTTTTTTTTTCAAAATGGCCGCTGGGTACATTTTCCCTGACAGTCGGGCTATTTTTCAAGATGGCCACTGACTTTTTTAAAATATTTTTTTAGAATCAGAAATAGATCCATTTTAGCAGTGTTTTTTTTTCTTTTTTTTTTCTTTAAAAATAAAAAAAATAAATAAAAAATAATTCTAAAAAAAAAAAAAATTCTAAATAATTCTAAAAAAAAAAATAGGAGGCGGCCCCCCCAAAAGGAAGCGGGCGGGGACTCTAAACATGTATATTTTTTTAAGTGGCCTAATAGAAAAATTAATTTGTGTGGGGAAAAATGAAAGAAGGAAGAGAAGATAAAATGAAGATTTTACAGTAATGACAGAGAGAAATGCCAGGAATAAAAATGCTCTCAGAAATTTTTAAATACCTAGCATTTAGATTTAAAAAAAACATTACCGTAAATGTATATTAAAAGTTAAATCACCAGCACACTTTGTAGTACTCTACAAACCACTACAGTATTTGAAAAAAGGAAAGCAAATAACAACAATTGTTCATTTTCAATTCCACAGTAGAGGAAGAAAATCTATTATCTCACAAGAAATAAAAACATCAAATTCATTAATGATGTCCCTCTTGAATAAATTCATCTTGCCCCGACCATGAACTAGCACATATGCCGTTTCAAACGTTTATTCTGAGTATTCACAATTTAGGGTGCAAATACGGAGGGAAAGATGACCATGAAAGTATAAAGACATTACAATTATCGGACAACAAAGATCCTCAAAATGATTTTGTATTATTTCAGCCCTACATATTCATAGAGAAATTATCCAATCATTTGAATTCAATACACAAAATAAAACCACTTTTTTTGGGTGCACACATGAATTGAAAAAGAGTTGCATTTGAACTCCAAATTAAGCGTTCGCTGAACTACAAAACAAAACAATGTTCTTCCAAATATTGTTTCCCCACAAAAATCACATGTTATTACTGTATACATACAAAAAAAAATCAGTTTGTGATAGATACTTATTCAGAGTTTTATTCAAATGCAAACTGACTGTTGGTTTTAAACTTTGATTTTTGGTCAATTTTTGTTATAGTCCTATTTATCTGTTTTTACCAGTGCAATACTAAGGGAAATTTGTGTAACAGTAAAATGCGGGTATTGTACATACGTCAATGACAATATAGGATTTCATTCCAGTTCAGAAGGGTTGGTTACTAAAGCTAATATTGTAACTTCTGAGTATTGTTTCAAACATATTCCGAGTAACAAAATTACAAAATCAATCACGACTATTCACGAATCAATTTCTCCCAGCGTCCTATTTCAAATTCACTCGTCTTTGATACAATCTCCAGCAAATTAAACAAAAAGACACAAAATCGGAATGTCTTGCAATAATCATAATCAACAAAGATTCAACTTTTAAGAAAAGAAAAGAAAAACATCAAATGAATGTGGTGAACTGCCTAGAGTAGCCAAAATATGATTTCAAGTGTTTACAAATACATGCAACTAAAGTCCAATGAAAACGCCAGCATTAATTTTAACTACAGCACCTCCTTTCCGTGGAGGAGGCTAATTTGGGAGGTACAAGCAATGTTACCCTGTAACATTATGTTTCTTTCAATGAACTGGTTTACTAACTTATTCAAATTGTATGCATACTTTCAAAAGAAAGGTTGCACTCGACAACCGAGAGCATGCGAGAGGCTTGCCTGTCATAGCAACATGTTATATATGCAGACTGGTTTCAGAGTATTGAAGTTCATTCATTAATGACAAGTTAATGGAATAAAATTCATCACTAGGTCCCCAGGAAAGAATCACCCATAAATTTGAATATGTTAGTAACCTGGTCTATCGGCTATAAACTGAAACCTCTGTTCATCAATGAATAACGTGACATTTCCTCTGAAGAAAGAAAAGCCATCCTTAAAAAGAAAGTTTTACTTTTGATGAGCACGGTGACAGTTGAGTACTCTACCTAAACATGGCTTTACAGTGATGAAGAGGGCATCAACCCTTTCCATTTGACTACAGGTAAGCAATAATAACGGACCCTACCCCGAGGGAGGCTGATCTACTTCTCTACTTTAGGGCTCTTTGGCTCTGCTTTAGCAGCGTATTTGGTCTCCGTCTTGACCTTGGCCTCCGTCTTGACCTTGGCCTCCTCCTTGACCTTCTCAACGACCTTCTCTGGGACCTTGCTCGTAGAGGGCAGCAGGGCCTCTTCGAGGACCTCGTTGAACTTGAGCATGATCTCGTCCAGGTTCTTCTGGGCGGTGCCGATGACATCGATGAGCTTCTTGGAGCGGGTGGACGAGCCGATGAGGGCGCGCTCTGATGTGGTCAGCCTCTTCTGGACGTCCACCAGCTCGCCACTCACGTTGGTGACGGTCGCCTCGCTGGTGCTGGCCTTACTCTTGAGGGTGTCTGAGGGTGAAAGAAGTGTTGTAGTCCAGGGAAAAAATTACTTTAAACATTTCAGGGGCTACTTTTCAAGCTTGCTTGCATGAAAAAAATACTCTTTAATTTGTTTTGCATTGAACTCTATGCAAAATTTAGGGGCTCTTTTAAGACTATCAGGGGCTCTTTTGGGCATTTCAGGGGCTACTTCGATAGATAGAGATGTATATTTCAAAAGGAAATCTTTCCTTGTCAAGGTACAAACATACTTTCACCAGAGTAACAAAGTCCAGAGTGAATGTAATACAACTAGATAATAGACTGGGCCCGATGCATAAAACTTGTGCATAAAAACTTTTGAGTGATGAAGTAGCCTTGGATTTGGCCAGCGTCTTTGTCCTTTTGTAACCGTTGATGGTTATTTTGCCATCAATGGCAACTACCATGGTAACAGGGCTCAACAGCCAATCAAAATCAAGGTTTCCATGGTAGTTACCATTGATGGCAAAGTAACCATCAATGGGAAGTTTTGTGCAACAGGCCCAAATGAACAACATACAACTAATACATTAATATGTCGGGCATTTCTTACCAAGTGAAGAACTAGCTCACCAAGGTCATAATAACAACAGTATCAGTTTTGTCTAGAGTGCTCACCAAAACAAGTATGGTGCTTGAGGCAATGCAATATCATCCTAGATTAGCTAGGCTACTGATAGAATCAATCACACCATTTTACAGATGGAGCCCATTATCCAAGTATTATCCAATTGTTTGTCAGAAAAGTGCTTTTGTTCATCGAACAATTGCGTTTTATTGGTCCTTACCGATCTGTTTCTCCAACGATTCAATTTTCTTCTCAGCCATAGACCTCTCCTGATCAGCCTTCTGGACCTGCTTTAAGAGGTTGGCGATGTCAATCACTGTTCCTCCATACTTCACCATGGTAAGGCCATCAGGGGCCATGCCTTTTGACCCCTTCTTGCTGGTTGCCATGGTGTCCAGGATCATCTGGTTTCCTATTCAAACATAAACAAAAAATTTGCATTTTAGAAAGTGTTGCTTTAAGACAAACTGTTTTGATAAAACTGCCATAGATGGGAATAAATGTCCAATTGTCTATATTTCTTACAGTCGAATGCCTCTCAATGAGGGAATCTAGTCTGCAAAGGCTACAATATCATTGGCAATCCATGTCAGTGGGTGTGTGTTTTGGAGAAAGATAACCACAACCTTTAACATCAACATCAGACATCACTCACATCCTAACTCTGGGCAGACTACTAAACTGACTATCATCTGCCAAGATGTCACCTTCTTTGAGTGTACTCCTTTTACATCAAGGTTTTGTAATCTTGGTGTACACAGTCGACCTTGTATATGTCAATCTTGACGGGACCGAGTGAAGTGGGTCGACTTTGGCTATGTTCAACTTTTGAGAGAGACGTAGAATTATGACTTACGCAGATGTATGTACATGTATGTTGTCCCTCGGCCTAACATAACTGACGAATGCTGTATTGTTGTATTAGTTGTATCCATTACCCCATGCCATGGTTTAAATTGTTGTGCAGACATCCAGAAAATAAGAAAGAAACTTCATGTACACAATGTATGACTAAAAGCCCCTCTGCGCTAGTTTGGCATTGAAGGATTAGACCTCCTTGCAAGGTCACTGGCAGGTGGTTATCTCATCAAATCAGCTCTCAATTGACATAAGAAAACAGGGACCATGGGGGACCAATGGTCACCGATTAGGCATTGTTGGCTGTATAGAGGGCGCAAGTAGCTAGAAGTAGTGCAGTGGGGCTTTAACATTCCTATTGCAACTTGATTAAGAATGCCAGCTCACCTTTAGAGAGATCTGCATCAGAGGGTACATTGTTTGCTTCTGCTGCCTTGGTGGTGTCGTCTTTCTCTTTCTTGGGTCCGTCCGTAAGCTTCCTGTAACTCCAACAGTCTCTGGTAACCACCTTCTGCAGGAGCTTGCGAACCTGCAATGGACAAGACAAGAGAAGGGATACAAGGGATGAGTGCAGATAATCAAATCGAGGAGGATGTGATGGTGGTGGTGTTGGTGGTGGTGTTGGTGGTGTTTATGGTAATGGAGGTGTTGGTGGCAGTGTTGGTGGTGGTGTTTATGGTAATAGAGGTGTTAATGGTAGGAAGAAATTACTTGGAATGCTTGAGCACCTTTTCATGGTAGCTCGGTTAAAGCCAGGGTAATGATATGATTGCAGGGCCCTCAGGGAGAACAGTATTAAAACTGACGAGGCTACCCTGGGTAAACAAGACATATTATTATTATAACCGATAAAAATGTAAAAGAAGAGAAAGAAGAAGAAAAAAATGATAAATAATAATGTGTTGGCCTATTTGAGACCACCATACCTGGGCCCTTGATAGATGAACACCGATGGTGTATAGGATTTCCTCCAAGTCCCTTTCCAGGATGTAACCACAATGATTCTGATCAAAGTAGATGCAGGAGAGAAGAAGGTGAGGGTCCAGGGTCTCCATCTTAATCCGAGGTTTGGTTTTGTCGTCCTTGCTCTTCTTATCACCCTTCTTCTTGTCATCTGTAAGATGTAAAAAGAGATACATTGTTATTCTACAGCCATATCCACCTTCTTAATGTTTAGTGGTGGTGATTATTTTACCCGACTGCTAAGAAAGCATAAATGCTTGTTAGTAAGCGACCAGAGGGCCGACGGCTTTCAATTCTCTTTGAGGAACCTGGTAATGAGGATTAATGCCTTACCAAAGGGCACTAGCGCATCGACTTGGTTTCGACTTGATATGAAGATTATCACCCCTCCCTCCTATACTAAGATTATCAAGATTAACATATTGGACCTAGGTTGTACATGTACTGATAACTTTTGTTCGGCATAGATTTCTGACAAGACCGAGATCTCAAGCTTATTGAGAAAGAAGCGAGAGTTACAGAACCACTTTCATTTACTACACCTGGGTCGAGAGAGGCCATTTAGATACTTGACTTGCTGAAGGACACCTTTGTTTGTTTCGAGCCAGAAGGGCATCAACTCTGTGCAAAATGATACGCACTGAACACCTTGTAGCTCCAAACAGACAACATGTGCCATGCCATTGGCTCTATGAATTTTATCGCAAAGTATTTCTACAAAACTCAAACTCAAAACTACAACTCAATTACAATTGAGATAGGGCATCTTACCATCGTCAGCATCATCTTCGTTACTCCTTCCGTCATTCTCCTCCTCTTCTCCATCTTTATCCTCCTCCTTGATATCCTCATCTTTCCGCTCTTCATCCTGTTCACAGGTAAGAACAATATAATTTGGTGTTTATCATGTAATTACTATAATAATCATGTAATGTTATGCATCTATATTGCGTCAAATATCTGCTTTACAAATCATAGGGACATGGAAAGTATCATCCCGCCAGTTTGTCACATAAGCATTTCCTATATAATTTCAATTATCTAGGGCATCATCTGAACAATGGTAAATGAATCATTACCATTTCCAGGAGAAGAATTTAAATTTTGGTACAAGCTTGCAGCACGGCAAGCAAAAGCTTACCTATCTGCTAATTTTCCTACGGATTATCTTCTATTTGTTATATGAAAGAACTAATTTTTAAAGCCTGTCTGCACTAGTTTAGCCAGGAGGGATTAGACCTCCCAGCAAGGTCACAGACAGGTGGTTATCTAATCAAATCAGCTCTCAATTAACATAAGAAAAAGAGGATCATGGTGGACCAACGGGCACCGCTTAGGCATTTTTTGATATATGGAGGGTGCAAGTAGCTATAAGTAGTACAGTGGGGCTTTAAGTTCCAATGTTTATTTATGAGCCCATAAATCTCACCTTGTCTTTACTTTCTTCTTTGTCTGCGTCCTTCTCCTCCGTCTTGCGTCTCTTTGCTTTAGGTTCCTCCTCTTTCTTGTCCTCCTTCTTTTCATCTTTGTCGTCCTTTCGTTCATCCTTCTTCTCATCTTTCTTTTCCTTCTCGTCTTTCTTGTCTTTCTGTAATCACATCAAATATATCACAAGATATCAGTAGATCATCGAAATACATCTAAGACCATTCTAAACAGAGTAAACATTTGTTATTTTGTTAAAGTCATTTCATTATCACATCGAATGACATGCTTGTTGTATAAAACATGCCATTAATTAATTTAATCAATCAAATCCATACAAATTAAAAAAAGATGAAATTGCAAGTTCTGATGTAGCATCGCGATATCATTCTACGCCTAAAACAAACCTACCTTTTCATATCTTTTTTTCTTGATAGCCATATACTAAAGATGCTACAAGCACATTCTCTTTGCAGCATTGTATTGATAACACAATTCACTTTAATCTAATTCAATTAAATCCAATGGATATTCATTCAATTCAATTCAATTCAATTCAATTCATTTATTTATTTCACTCTCTTTTAAAAACATCAAAAGTATATACATGTTTGTTCATTATCAACATAAGATAAAAGGAAGTGGGGAATCATGAAAGCCAAAATTGGCTTGATGAGAGTAATCCCCAAATAAATACTTAGCATATACAAGATACAAAGTTATTTTATATACAAAAAAATGTGTACATATACATGTATTCACAACAACAGAAGACAGAGGACAGAGGAAGGATAAAGATAGGATAAGGTAAAGACAGTTACAGGAAGATAAGAAGAAAGATAAGATAAAAAGAAGGAAGTTACAACTTGCGTTTTACATTCTACATAATAAATGACCATTTCATTTTGTTCCGCTTAAATAACCCTTTTTCAAGGTAAATTTAAATCAAAATGCAATAAGACAAACCTTCTTTTCATCTTTTTTCTCCTCTTTCTTCTCAGGAGCTCTGAATATGGCTTTGTACATGTTGAAGGCAAAGTCTCTCTGTAGCATCTCATTGAACAGCTCTGCAAAGAGGAACACCTGAATAAAGCAAAGGGGCAAGTAGACAGCATTAGGAGACATTAAACAGCGAATCTTTCAAACATTATTGGAAGTTATTCAAAGTTTCCTGTTATTCAGTCATATAGGGGATGCAGAGAGAAGGACTTAAAGGTAAAGATCAGTTTTGGAAACGCCCCCCCCCCTCAAAAAATGAAATGGAAGCTCTTATTACCAATCATGTGAAAGAATATGTTTCGACTAATACGTAATGATATATATTTTGCCGAGAAACCTCCTACTAATTGATATATTTGGTAAAATATATCTATTTGGACCTGATAGATATCGGGCACGTGTCGCGTAGTCCCATATACATCTTTCTGTGTACAGTGCTTGTAACTTTACCAAGACTGGGCCAAATTTCTTATTATTTTGATGATTCCAGAACCTTGCAGTACACACCAACAGTATGCTAGATGATCAACCTTTTCTGATCGATTTCACAATGTTTCCTTCACAATGCAATCACATGACCATAACTGGTCTTTATCTTGAAGTAAAATTCTAAGAATCACCTAACAAGTGAAGAAGGTCATGGGCGGAGTTTATGAACTGAAAGAAGCATGCAAATAATAATTCATTCTAGAAGTAAAACAAATTATGTGAGCAAAGCAAATTTTCAGTGGACAATAAAATGAAATTGCAATTGATTAAGAATGAAATATACAATGTCACTTTAAACACAAAATGCATCTCAATTGTATCTAAAACAAACATCCCAGATTGAATTGCTCAGTGCTTTCTATGCATTGCCTTTGTCAGGCGAAAATGCGACATCCTGAATTAAAAAAAAACAAGAGCACAAATTTTAAGTTAGTTTGGTAATGGGATGTGAATTGGGAATCTGGAAAGTGGCATTTCTTTCAGGACATCTATTTTTTAAAAATTCTCTTACATTTGATTTCTAGCAGTTTTGAGACACGCTTTTGGTGTAGCGTAGCATATATGTACACGTCATGGAGGAGCCAAGTGGGTGGGACCTTGGTTTAAAACCCCCAAACTAGTGAATGCACTAGTGCCCTTTGACAAGGCATCAATCCCAATTACCAAGTCCTTCAAATAGGTCCCTCCAGTTACAGTTACACCTGCTTTAGTGACCACCTGTCAACAAAGACCACATTTTTGTTTCTCATTGAAACATGTACTTAAGGCACCTGTCTACAAAGACCCTTTTTTGTGTTTCCCTTGGGCGGTCACCATAGACAGGTTTGACTGTATTTACCTACACATCTACAACCATACATGTGATTTCTATGCAGCCAGGTGGAAATCTATCACCATCAATCAACTCACCTCAAAGGAGTGTTCCTTGTTGTCTTCCACTCGGTAGTCTAGCAGAACACTGAGAGACTGCTGGGTGCAGTCAAACTTGCCACTCTTAGCGATGGGCGACGGGTGGACCAAGATGACCGGCCCATCGGGCATGGTGTAGCGGGACTCCAGGTCACGCTTTTCTCGCTCTCGCTGGCGCTTCTTCTCCTCCTCCTGAAGCAAAAGAAAGTTTTTGTCAATAAGGCTTCGTCACGGTCCTTAAAATTCACTAGAATTAAACTTGTGTTGTTTCATTCATGGGACACCAATCGGCTTGCCAGATTTCATAACTCTTCAGAAGAGATCAAGATTTCTTTCTTGTATGTATAAATTGCCCTGGGAACAACAGTTTCAGGCCTCACTTCTTTAGAGATAAAAGGTAAGGGTAAAGATTGCAATCAGGTTTTAATATAGGTTTAGATTTAGGATTAGGGCTGGGTATAGTCTTGGGCCCAGGGTTGAAGTAAGGAGTTTGCCAAATGTAGGAAATTTAACATAGAGCATTGATTGTCATATAATAGTAATAATAATAATATATAGGATTTTTAAGGCGTCAAATCCACTTGAAATCAAATGCTCACTGCATACTTGTGCAAAAGATTAAAAGTGTCTGCGTTGTAAATAAAAGAACAACAGGATGAAAGTAGAATGCACAAAAATGAAAAATAACGATTAATTATACGCTAAATCAAACAGATATGTAGAGGTGTCGTCGTCTAGCAGGTACCTCACCGGACTGTGGTCTCCATGGTTTGCGGTGCGAGTCCCGCCGCAACACTAATGGCCTTTGGCAAGACATAAATCTACATTTCCCACTCTCCACCCAGGAGATTAAATGGGTACCTAGTAGGAAAAAATTCCTTGAATGCATTAGCGCCTTATTATGGCAGCTCAGCTACAGTTGGGGTGATAATATTATACCTTGTATTAAGCGCAGTAGAGTATATTCTTATAGTAGATGCGCTTTATAAATTGACCTATCATTATGATCAGTAAAACCAGAACTACAGCTAAGTAACACTGATAAACTCACAACAATCTCCTTTTTCTTCTCATCCTCTTTGTCCTTCTTCTCCTTCTCTTCTTTGTCTTTCTTCTCTTTCTCCTTGTCCTTCTCCGAAACCTCCTCCTCCTTCGGGGCATCCTTGGGCTCCTCCTTAGATGCATTCTCCGTTGCCGCGTCCGTTTCCATGGCAGCTGGTTCCGCATCCTCCATCTCCTGCTCAGTCTTGAGCATCTTGGTGAGGCGAGCGATGAGCTGGGACTTGAGACCCTTGGAGTTCAGGCCGCGTATTTCCAGCTCCTGGCGAAGCTCATTCACCTACGGGAGAATGAATAGTTTGTTAAGATAAAGTTGAGTTCTGGTCATGCGATTGCATTGTGAAAGAAACGTTGTGGAATCGATCAGAAAAGGATGATCATCTGACATATAAGTATTGGTGTGTACTGCAAGGTTCTAGAATCATCAAAATTATAAGAAATTTGGCCCAGTCTTGGTAAAGTTACAAGCACAAAGATGTATTTGGGACTACACAAACATGTGGCATAAAAATCCGTCCCAATTTTCAAGATGTAACATGCTATATTAAGAATATTAAGGCATTTGAAGAGCCATGCTTTTAAGGGAACATTTTTTATTTGATGCTCTTCCACACTACGCATAATACAATGATAACGATCACAAATTATTTTTCACCGCTTCTCAGAACTCAACTTCCTCTTTGAGGTATTCATGCAAAGATGAACAAGTGTCTTGTAGTCCAGGCTGCAGTCCCTACACCAAGGCTAGGACAACTTTGAAATGAAACCAAGACTGAAACTAGTCTTGCTATCACTGCTTAATGTGGAGTTTTACAAAACACATTCATGTGTGAGATTGTACTGGTGAATAATAACTCTCATGGAAAATGTACAAACCTAGAGGGTTACTTTTCAGATTTTGCATATCAACTCCTCTTCTCCTTTGGCATTTTACAAAATCTTTCCAAAGGAATGTGATGAACAATCTACAATTTCACGGGTAAGGGCAATCCCTTTCTACCAATTTTTACAAAGGACCAGGGGCCCCATTTCATAAAACCTGTTATCTATAACAACTGCTAAATTTCTATGACAAATTTGCTCTCAGCCAATCAAATGCCACAATTTCAGTTGCTTATAACAGTAGCTTGTAACTTGTTATTGATAACAAGTTTTGTGAAACAGGGCCCAGGTTGTAACCCTAGCACATTGCACAAGGACATAGGCGCAATAGCTCAGTGGGTAGAGCAGTGGTCTCGTAATCCGGCGACCCAGGTTCGAAACCAAGTCGATGTGCGAGTGTCCTTTGGTAGGGCATTAATCCTCATTACCAGGTCCCTCGCAGAGGACCTAAAGCTGTCGGCCGTCAGGTTGTTTACTTACAAGCATTTATGCTTTCTTAGCAGTCAGGTAAAATAACCACCACCATACCTTCATGTTCTTAGGATCCAGCTCCTTCCAGTTGGTTGGGGTCTGATGCTCCTGCTCTTCCACCTCCTCTTCCTCTTCCTCCTTGACAGCAGCAGGCTCCTCCTGGAGTCAAAGCAACAGAGAGACGGAGAAAATGAGCAACCGACCACGACAAGCCCCATGCCTCATTGTCTATTAAAAGCTAATGAGACATAGGTCATTGCACTCTTCACAAACACACTCACACACACATACAAACAGAGGTCAACAAACTTCTCTGTACATTCAAAGGTGAACGCACTTTTGGATACAACCACATTGCAATCAATATTGGACGATTAACTTTTTTTCTTCTAAAAAAAAAGGAATAACAGAAATTAAACGTGCATGCTACGGTTATGATAATTTGTTTTGTGCCTTGTAAAAATGTTGAGATGTGACCCGACATCAGCACAAGCCAAAATGTGCTAAGAACTTGCTTGGGAATCTAAGTCTGCTCCTTTAGAGTATGCACATACCATACACATTCCACATTGTGTAGATCCACACAAGACCCACACACACATACACCCACAAACACTAAATTCAGCAGCCACAAAATACATATACAATTAAAACATCCAAAGATAGAATAACTGGGTGTAGATTATGGTGCCCGAGTGAAGACGGATTTTAGGATCATCTGGTGTTTCCCGACAGAATTTGATGAAAGAAAAGAGTGTTACTTTCGAAAGAGACGTTATATACGATTGATGTGTTTCTGATGATGCCTCAAGTTTTTGATGATGTTAATTACCCTTGTTCGAAGGACAGAGTGTTCTCATTGAGTGTGTGTGCTGAAATTGAAATGAAAGATTGAAATGCCGACCTCGACATCGTATAGTTGAGAAAGAGAATTCTTAATCTCAAAGACCGCTTCATATAGGTACTTCAGTTGAGAGGGAAACCCCCTAACAGATAAACTCACCGACTCAAGGAACTGTTAGGGACAAAAAGATGTTTATATTAAAATGATTACAACAGAGTTACACCTATAGTGGTTCAGTGTTTGAATGTATGTTTATGATTGTTCTTGAATGTTTGTTTGTTTGTTCTTGGTGACTATTCTTATGTTTTTAGGCAGGTTCGCAATCCGTCCACAATTTGTGGAGTTCCAGTTAACTCCCAAAGTGAGAAAAAAAAATCAGCCCTGTTGAAATGTTTTCCTTTCATTAATTGCAAGAGTTTGGCAAATGCAAGGGTAAACGATAAAAGCCTGATGTACAATGTTAAGAGATCTGTTCGTAGAAGGCATCTTGTGAGTTCAATGTTAAAGTTTTATTTCTGATCTAGCTCCATCTTCAGAATATTCGTTCGTAACTGTAAGCTTGAAATAGAGATGTATTCACGTGTCTAGTGCGTGCTTGTTAATATTTGATGGATGTGTTGTAAAGTTGATATCAATGGCATAAAAAGTAAAAAAATGAAAGAAATCATGAAAAAGCCTCAAGTCAGTGCCTGGGTTGGGGTGGGGTCCTCTGTTTTCTTATCCCTGCTGTCCACTGCTGCCAATTTGTTGCTCAGCGTCTTTCTGTAGAGATCCGCCAGACTCTCCCATTCAACCTTCGTGGGTAAAATGTGCCACACGTCAGGCACGAAAATTACGACAGTTTCGACACGCGCCGGGATGACTCGGCCTTTGTGAATCTCTTCGGGGCGGTAGTAGCTCAGCTCCAGGAAACGGTACCTGCGGGAAGGGTTCAAAAGGTGGGAACACACCATATAGTATTTGGTTTCATATGACAACAGTTTCAAAGTATACTAAATACATCGCCAGTCTCGTAATCTGACCGTTTATAAGTTGGTAGGTACGAAATACCAAGTTCCCCCTCTGGTGCTCAGAAACGCCTTATTTTTGCAAATCCTTACCACTTCCAGACCTGATATATTCGTTCTTGACAAACATCTACATCAAACATCTTTTTGCTATGATACTTGATGGTCTTAGCAAAGAGGAGGCTTAATAAACGATATAGCCGCAGGAGCAGAGGAATACGATTCACAGACATCAGAGTTTTGTACAAGTAGGTACCAAACGATAACACATGCGATGGTTTGGAAAATGAAACGGAAAAAGAGAGGTAAGGTATAGAATATGGACAAAAGCAACAAAGAAAATCCAGACAGAGAGGTTGAAAAACATCGGTAGAACTCTGATATAAGAAAAAAATGAACGAGGAGTTGAGTGATAGTGAGCTAAAAAATGAACGGATAGATATGTAAATGGAAGGCACACCAAATGCAATCGGCCACTGGAGGGAAGATTGTTTTTTGGTTTGACATTTAATAGCTTTAGTTGATGACTGTAAGCTGGTTGAGGGACGCAATAGACACTTGCACAATAACTATTCAGACCTGTTCTACATTAGTATGCTCATGGTTTGCACTTTTCCAGAAGAGTATAGTACAACAGAGAGAGTGTTAAATATGAAAAACTCCTCATCATATAAAATACATCTGACCAAATGCCAATTTTTCGAAAAATTCCGAATATTGTAGCCTATTACATTTGTACCCAAGTATTTGCCATGAAAATTAACCAACCCCCATCTCAGGATTACCAAGACACACTAGTTATAGCAGAAGAAGCAGCCAAAGCTCATTCTATGGTGAAGATTTAACCCACATTTGTGAAACCTGTAACCTGTAACAATCTCCTCATAATACTGGACTTTGTCAAAGTTATCAAATATCAATCTAATCTACACTATGACAAAGATTTATTCTTTAACAATGAAGCTACCACTAAAAAGATCAATTTTGGACAATTGTTTAATGCATTTCGACAAATTATACTTAAACTTTGTTCACCCTGGTCAATTAAATCAAGTATTTTTTTTTTACTACATCTTATAACAATGTTCCCCTTTCAAAGTTTCAGCAGTTTAATCAAATAGCAATTTAAAACAAAAATTCATTCACACATCAGTTACATGTACTTACCACAAATTACAAAAATGATGATTAACTAGATGGAATTTTGACTGCGCGCAGTCGAAAATGATGCCTCCGCCATAGAGCAATTTAAATAATAGTGAGGTCTCTTCCTTTGCGCAATTTCTCAAGACGCGTGCCAAATTTCGAGGCAATCGGCCCCCCCCCCCCCCCCCCCCCCCCCCCAGTCAGGGAGGTGCTCAAAATAGCCCAGTTAAGTACGGGTTAAGTAACGGAACATATTTCAAGTGGTTCTTGACATATCATGACAAGTCCTATACATGTAGTCTGAAATTTTCAAGTTGACCTCTATGACCTTTGACATACATGTACTCCAAAATCTAATCTGATCGTTTTCCTATGGTGATATATATACTATCCTTAAGTTTGAAGTTTAAATCTCCAGTGGTTCTTGAGATATTATGATAACAATCTCAATGTATGGAATTTCATAAGTTGACCTCTGTGACCCTTGACCTTTGACCTACGTGCTCCAAAATCTAATCAGATTGTCTTCCTATGGTGATACATACTATCCTTAAGTTTGAAGTTTAAATCTCAAATGGTTCTTGAGATATCATGATAACAATCTCAATGTATGGAATTTCATAAGTTGACCTCTGTGACCCTTGACCTTTGACCTACGTGCTCCAAAATCTAATCAGATTGTTTTCCTATAGTGATACACACTATCACTAAGTTTGAAGTTTAAATCTCCAGTGGTTCTTGAGATATCATGATAACAATCTCAATGTATGGAATTTCATAAGTTGACCTCTGTGACCCTTGACCTTTGACATACGTGCTCCAAAATCTAATCAGATTGTTTTCCTATAGTGATACACACTATCACTAAGTTTGAAGTTTAAATCTCCAGTGGTTCTTGAGATATCATGATAACAATCTCAATGTATGGAATTTCATAAGTTGACCTCTGTGACCCTTGACCTTTGACATACGTGCTCCAAAATCTAATCAGATCGTCTTCCTATGGTGATACATACTATCCTTAAGTTTGAAGTTTAAATCTCAAATGGTTCTTGAGATATCGCGCTAACAAACTCAATACAAGGAATTTCATAAGTTGACCTCTGTGACCTGTGACCTTTGACCTACGTACTCCAAAATCTAATCAGATCGTCTTCCTATGGTGATAAATACTATTCCCGAGTCTTAAGTTTAAATCTTAAATGGTTCTTGAGATATTGTGATAACGGTCAAACGGGACGGACGTACGGACGGACGGACGGACGGACGGACGGACGGACGGACGTACGGACGGACGGACGTACGGACGGACGGACGGACGTACGGACGGACAACCCGAAAACATGATGCCTCCGGCACCACCTTCGGTGGCGGAGGCATAAAAATCTCATGTCCCTTTCTAAGCCGATACCTAGACCAAATGACCATTTCAGTTTTGACAATGGTACATATCAAACTGTTGCAGTGAGTGACCCTGATAATGTCGGACATTGATGCCGAAATAAAGGCAATATTGGAGCCCCACTTACTTTGTTCTACTGGCACGATAGTAGCCGAAGGCAATACAAAGCTTGTGGAAAATACTGGTCTTGGACTAACACAAATGTAACAGACCTCTAGGCTATGATAGACCTTTTCCCATTTAAAAGAGTAAAACATTCATTGACCTTGGAGATGAACTACAAAAGTGTTGCTAAAAATCTGCACATATTTAACAATTTGGTTTTCCAACTTCCTTAAAGATCACCCTTTTGCTTCCCCTTTTAACAATGAGTTTACGTAGAAATGATGTTTTCTCTTTTGTAACAAATATAAACCACAGAAAATTATACTTACTCTTGAAATGCACTATCCAAGACTTCTATACCAAAGAAAATTTAGTATCATACATTGAACAAAACGTTTCTATTTCACACTCACAAATGAATGACCTAGAACTTTTCTCACACGTAATCTACATGTTCTCATGTTCTCAAGTTCCTTATTATAACAAGCTACCTACAAACAAAATATGACTTTCAAAAACGCAATTATATGTAAAATATGGAGCGGAAGTGAATAGAAAAGAGATATACATTCTCTTTTTCTATCTAACAATTTTCCTCCTCCTTATGACCCCACCACCAAGCCTAGTCCGGACCCAAAGTAGAGGTACATACCATTGTGTACAGGCCGTCAGGTCGATTCCAGCCAGCGCTTTGGTCGTCCTAATGGCCGTCTTGATGAGCACGGATGTGTCATTGACAGGGTCAGCGCCGTCCAGAGAAGGTGACCAGGGCCCTCCGATGGCCATTACCTCGTTCTTGCCCTTCTGACCAACCAGGAAGTTGATGAGGCGGGTAGGGTGTTGAAAGTTCTCCCTGATGTCGGAGGAGTCTTGCGCCCGGGCGCAGCACTTCTCGTAAAGTTCGTCCTGAGAAACTGACGTCATCAGCATCACCTGGTACCAGTTACAGATCAAAGAGCAGATGGTGTAGGAAAGAGAGCAGGAAAGATAAGGAAGCTGGCCACTCAGCAGGGTTCTAACTAGGTATGTAATTTATCAAAATTTACCGGGAGCACCTGTAAATTTTTATATTAAACTTTTCTTGAAAGCAGAAGTGTTTAAGGGGCTTAATTTTCTAGTGCTTATAATACATCCACAGGGGTATCCAAATATATCAAACTTTTTAAGAATCACTGTCCACCCAATTTTCTAAACTTCCTAAATTTGAGTATTACCTTTAAACTCAGTCTGACTCTTTACAGTCAAAATATACATGCACTGAAAAGAATTGAAACAATAGGGCAGAATAAAGTCTTGGCCTATTCACACATGGTATATCCATACTTGGTATGGGGCCCGTCGCATAAAACTTATCATTGATTGTAACTTTGCCATCAATGGCAACTACCATGGTAACAGGGCTCAACAGCCAATCAAAATCAAGGTTTCCATGGTAGTTTCCATCAATGGTTATGCAACGGGGCTACGGCAAACTCCTACGATTCCATCTTGCTGCATATGAATCCTCAAGATCTTTCGGATACCTACCTTGGCACAGTAGGAGTAGTTCGCATCTGGTGGGTCGATGACGGTGGCCGCGCCCTGCGGAGGAGGGGCTTCCTTGTGCATGATGTGCAAGGTGCAGGGCTGGGCCACGCTCATGGGGCGGTGGATGGGAAACACGTCCTGCCAGGCAAAGTCGGCGTTGTAGAAGTCGCTGGGGATGTACATGTTCATGTAACGCTTGTGGAGCTCGATCACATCCGATTTGGGGCTGTGAAAAAGAGAAAGTTTGTATAATGATTGCTGAATTTTAATTTTTCAGGTGAGAGCAAGTTTGTTTCATTCACGTCGTACCAGAATCATGTGGGGCTTCATAAGGAGAAAATTGTCATGGGGGGTGTTTCACAAAGACTAAGATCGACTTTAAGTTGGACTTAACTATGACAGGCCGTTCATGCCACTGTTTCCTCTCACCATTATGATCTTTAGATAATATTTTTTTTCTTCAATTAGGAACAATCAAAAAATGTAAATTTTGCACATTTGTGACCACGAATTATACGTCACTTGAGAGACCAATGCCAGTAAATGGTGAGAGCAAACGGTGGCATGAATGGCCTGTCATAGTTAAGTTCAACTTAAAGTCAATCTTAGTCTTTGTGAAACACCCCCCAGGGCCCTAGTGGGCAATTCTGTATTGAAAACCGACACCCTTTATACTTTCTTGTCTACCAACTTAATTATATCTCTCCCAGAGTAAAATATTCAATTCATAAAGCCCATTCAAAACAGGGGAACAGAGTTCATAGAATTTGTGTAAGTGGACACCCTTTGACAATGAATAGTTTTTACTTCAAAGACTGAATTCTAATAACTCACATGTCTAGAGCAAAGCGTGGGATCTGTACACAGTATCTCTGTACCAGTCTCTTTGTTCGCCTTGGCGATCGTCTAGGTGACTTGGAACGGCGCGGTGACCTTGACCGCTTAGTGACCGGAGACTTCTCCCTCTCCCTCACCCTCTCTCGTTCTCGACGTTCCCTCTCCCGCTCACGTTCCCTCTCTCGGTGCTCCCTCTCCCTCTCGCGATCTCTCTCGCGCTGGGCACGGTCTCTCTCTCGTTCGCGGTCCCTGTCTCTGTCCCTCTCCCTGCTGCCGCTGCTGCTGAAGTCACGTCGGCCCATGGCCTGCTGCTGGCCCATTTGACTTGTTCTTCCTTGATGCGCATAGGCTCCTGGATGAGAATGAAAATAACAAAACACAATATGAGCATTTATATAGTAAATAGTAGCATCGTCTTCACCAAAAAAAAGGTGTTGTTGTTATCGGTGAGTTTGTTGGCACTATCCATTGATTTTGATGATTTCTGCCAGGCTTGGTGCGAGAGGGTGTCTTGCTCTCTTTTCTGCAGCTCTACTTACGTTTCTGTGATTCTGATACTTGCCCATAACCTTTGTTATTGGCATAGTGCAAGGCTATGTGCAAGGTTATGAATGATTACATATAGAGAAATAATGCCTCCGGCTACTTCGTAACGGAGGCATAAAAACTTGAGACTCACTAACTTTTATTTCCTCAGTGGGTTGGGCCCATTGCGAAGTGCATCCAAATGGTATATATTTCAGCGTACTTTGACAATGACATAGCTGATCACAATCAACATTTTTACACTTTGAAGTTCATTCATGACAGTTCTTTAAAAGCCTATCTGCACTAGTTTGGCCAGGAGGGATTAGAACTCCCTGCATGGTCACTGACAGGTGGTTATCTCATCAAATTAGCTCTCATTTAACATACAAAAAAGGGGACCATGGGGGACCAGCGGTCATTGCTTAGGCATTGTTTGCTATATAGAGAGCGCAAGTAGCTATAAGTAGTGCAGTGGTGCTTTAAAAGACAATACACGAGGGTCAAAACCACCTGTCAATATCATTGACAACAGCACTTACCGGCTAGGTTCTGCATTGCCTGAGCGTTCCCTTGAAGCAAGGGGGCTTGCTGGACCACTCCGGGGGGAGGCTGCTGGAGCAGAGGGGGCGGGTTACCCAGTAGACCTGGGGGAGGAGGCTGACTGTGGGTGGGCATCATGTTACCTGCCTGAGGGGCTTTCAGGAGGGGCTGCTGACTCTGCTGTAAATTCCGGAAGAAAATGCAAATCCATATCATTAATCAGTTAACTACTGAATTCTCTCTTTCCTATAGACTTAAAGGTACTATGTCCCATTTGCAGGCCCAAAAAATGAAAAAGTTAAATTCCAACTGCATTTGAAAGATAATACTAATTTAGAACTTCCCTAAAAAAGGTGGGGCTTGAAAATGTCTTAAAGTGGGAAAATAACGACTATTAGTTGTCAAATCGACTTTAGGGCTATAGAGCCCAAAAGTAATAGTCTTGATTTTCAGACAATTGTACCGAATGGTCATACGTTTTATGCTGCGCAAAGATTCAATCAGTTTAATCTTGGCCATCACAAGAAGTGGGTTATTGACGTAGACAAATGCTCAAGTACCCTTTACAACTCTTTTAATGTATGTTATTACCAAATAAGAAAAAAAGCCAGTCAGTCACTCATCATGTAAACGGGTTTCCTTGCATAATTTGAATATGAGGACACTGCTTACGTTTAAATTTCACAGATAGGACATACATGACATTTTCATAATTCCTGCAAAGTTCTACAGCATTTGAGGTTGGCTGCAAAAGGGACATAGTACCTTTAACAGAGCTGCCAACCTGTCACTTTCATAAAACATATTATTCAGCTTGAAAAACCATATATTTAGGTGAAAAAACATATTTTGCCTGTTTTACATTTTTTCCCTATAAAATGCTACTGCAATCATGTTTTTTTGAATAAAAACGCTTTCTATCATTGAGAGCTGCCGACCTGTCACTTGAAAAAAAAAAAAAAAAATTAATACAAAAAAAAAAAATGATTTGTTAAATATATTTACCTACTTTATCAGAAAAATCCATTATTTAAAACTATAAGAATTTAAGTCAATGAGTACGAGGGCCACTGAATACACGATGATGTTCTATACCAAAGTTGGGGCACCTATTGGTGCTTCATTGCGGTCGAATCAAGGCAAGTCTAGAATTGCAATCAACTTTGTACATAAAGTCATGCATCAGCAGGTCCGGTGTTCGTTTTTCATTTGGCTTTTTGAAGATACCATGATTACCATCACACTCGAAGGGCTTGCGATAGGCGAAAAAACTGGGAACAAAATCGCTGATTTCTTGATTTTTAGCGCTTTTTGGGTGAAGCTATTTCTTAAAACTGGGCCAAACCCCCGTGAGCTTTGGAAATATGGCCCTGATTCCGCATTTTTGACAGCAAAATTTGGCTTTTGGAATGGATTTTTGGGAGTAAGATCGGGACTTTTTTGTACTGACACTGTGTGTGTAGTGCAGTGCACTGATATGTCATTAGCGTGTGTATGCATGGCGTGGGGAAATGCGCTCGTCTTTTAGTGGTATACATCCCCTGTATTGTGTGCAATGTACATGCGTGCGCGCTGCAGGAATCGCCAACACAAAGCAATAGCAAATCTATGCATATGCTGGTTCTCACAGCCAGCCGCTGGCCACGTTCGCACAGCCATACTCGAAACTTTCAAAAAACGTATTTTGGCACAGCAAAACGTACAGACGTATTTTCCCCCCCAAAAACGTATTAATACGTTAAAAACGTACTACTTGGCAGCTCTGCTTTAACACAGGGACCACCCGGTTCCGCAGACAAAGGGTTAATTCAGGACAATTAAGAATTTAGCCCTTGTTGGCAGATATGCAGAAGCTATTGCATATTCAATCTAGTATGAAGAATCTATATTGGTTGATTGTGTTGAGGGGCACCATTTGGTTTTTACGATATGCGCCTGTATAGAGGCCCAGACATGTTTGTTCTCAATATGTGATGTAGATATGAAACCTGAAATGCGGAGTGTCAGGGCATAACGTGCCCGTGAATTAGCATTCACAAGGATAGCACATGCTCCGGCAACAACTAATCCACAGTCATTGTCTCATCAATATCTACTGGACGTTTCAAAAACATGGAACTGGATTTAATAGAAATGTGATAGCACAAAGACATTTGATTTTGAGAATGTGTGCAAATCAGATCTGATAAAATTAGAAAACTTTATTCACATGGTACATAGGCATAACACTTATTTACAAATTTGGAGAAAAAAAAAATCATTTGAAAAATACACGAAACAATTTAAATAATTGGATAAGTATGTATGCATTGCTTCAAATTAGATTGAATGCAATTTGATAGTTTGTTTCAATTGCTTGTCTTATAGAATAGAATTGTTTGTGCAAGCAACAGGGCAAATCATTCGAGTGTTTTCTAAATTTAACTTGCAATTGCCTTCTCACCTTCAACATTTTGAACTGCTGGGAAACACTCTCAATGCGACTTGGTTGCTGCTGCTGTTGTTGTTGCATTTGCTGTTTGTGATAACGTAAAGGGAAAGAGGGAGGGAGGGAGGGAGGGAGGGAGGGAGAGAAAGAGAGAGAGAGAGAGAGAGAGAGAGAGAGAGAGAAATGATTTTCAATCTACCCAATACAAATTTGTTCAACATTTTCACACCAGAATAAAACAAAATGTAGTACTAAGCATGGTCCCATCTTCTGATAGTGATGCTGGTAAATGATACTTAAATTTTCCACCAATTTGTACAGATTGGATGGTAAAAGCATAGTTTGTATTCAAGTAAGTAGAAAGAAAGAGAGAAAAAAAAATGTAAATGAATTTCAATCAACCCAATACAAATTTGGTCATCATTTTCACACAAGAATACACACAAGTTAACATCAAGCCTGGTCCCATCTTCTGATAGTGATGCTGGTAAATAACAGATTGTGTGATTAAAGCATCGGTTGTTTTAAAGTAAGCCCCCTCTATCTGATCATGCCAGTGATTCTCCACTCCACTAACCTTAATTTGTTGCATCTTCATGGCTGCATGGTGCTGCTGCTGCTGCTGTTGTGGCTGTGCCTGAGGAACCTGCTGCTCTAGAGGGTTGTTCAGGAGCTGTATACGGGTTGCGTTCCACTTGAAGGGCATGCTGGCGTTGTAGGTGGCTTCCACCAACACCCGCTCACCGATCTTGGGCATGGTTCCCTTGACCGTGCTGCAGCAGTGAAAGAATTAAAATGAACGGAAATTAATTGAACTGAATTAAAAGGGATATCTTTGCCTCAGATTCTAAACAAATCCTGGATTTAGCTCATGCTGCAATCATAATTATAAACCTGTAGGTCAGTCAGGAATCCCATGACTTTTACAAGCCAATCACCTGTCTGAATATCAAGATGTTTATGATTGGAATTTGAAGTTTCAAAACCGTTTTCCCAAAGGTTTTTATAACACTACAGTCTATTGTAGAAATGAGTATGGCAAAACTGGTCACTCAAAGATTTTGAGGCACTTTATGATAATTTTGAAGCGCAATTTATTTAGGGCTTCAATATTACACCAATCACAGATACTGTTAACACATAGGGCCATGCATCTCCGATTTAACGTTTTTAAACAATGCCTTTAAGGCCACCCAGGGGAAACAGAGAGTGGCCACTGTAGACAGGTGGCCTTTCTAGACAGGTTCTACAACACACATTTCTCTCTTGAGGGAGACAAAATGCATGACCACTATAGACAGGTGGCCTTTATAGAGAGGTTTGACTGTAGTAGTAGTTTGTAAGGGATTTTGAACATCCTCTGGGATGGATATGTATAAAGTACAATTGTACTTTTTTGCCAACAGGGCCCCATTTCAAAAACTTGTCATCAGTGACAAATGACAGTTTTTCTTATAAGCTACTGAAATCCTTGCTTCTGATTGGCTATCAGCAGATTTGTCACTGATTTTTGTCATTTTTCTTTGAAGAAAGGCTTTGTGAAACATTCCCCAATTCACTCACTTTGTTTGGAAGAAGACGTCTTCGTCCACAAAGCCAAAGGTATCATGGAGCTTGGTGACCGTCCCGGTGAAGACCCTCTGTCTAGGCTGTCCGCCCTGCGTGGCCCTGGTCGTAGGGTAGCTGACCGTTAGCTGAGGGGTGGCACCTCCCTGAGAGCCTGCTGCCGCTGCGGCTGCTGCAGCGTTCTGTGCTGCTGCTTGCTGCTGAGTGGAGATAAGGAAAAACAGTTTATTATCATCGATTTTAGTTTGTTTAATAGTTTTATAGAATTTGAGAATTCATGTGCGCGGAACAGGTCAAAGGATAACCGTGCATTCTAAATTAGATCTGGAAAAAATCTGAACACAAATAAATAATCGGAAACCGATTAAAATCAGGAAATTATCAGGCCTGATTGAATCTTGACTGAATCTTTGCACCATTACTAATAATATGCAGAATTTTCTGTTGTTTTTTGTACTAAAATGAGAGAGAATAATCTAATCACCTGCTGTAAGGCGATGTTCTGTCTCTGTTGCATGGACTGCTGCTGCTGTTGCTGGGTGGGGTAGGCTGTGGTAGCTCCGGCTGCTGCAGCCATGCCAGCGTTGCTGACCATCGACTGACCGTACACTGTGGAAGGCGTGCCGACCACGCCTGGTTGTGCACCCAGTAGAGACTGGTTCTGCTGCATTAGAGTTTGATCTGATGAGAACAGAGACCAAGATTTATAAAATATTTGAAAATGTCTTTAAGATTGTTGCTAAGTGTCTGTCCGCATCAATCTCTGTTGACATGTCTATGTAATTTTTTCAAACCAACATTGAAACTTACTCCCCTCCCCCATAGGTAATGCCTTTCTTAGCTTGGTGAACCCATCATTCAACTCTGATTTATTCTTTTACAAAGTAATCTGAAAAATTCATGTTAATTTGAGAGTTGTAACCTATTACAAAAAAATGCCTTTTAAATGGTGCTCTCCTCTTGAATATTACAAGTTTCACTAAACAATATGCACAATAAAAAAATATAATCGAATTTTCAACAAGAAGAGAGCGGTGCATTGAATTTTAGTCCTTTCAAAGCAGACAGAAGCCAAGCAATCATGTTGATGGTCTTCAGAAAAATAACTTAACCCTCATACATTTCACTTTCTTGATCTTAATGTCTGAGCAAGTGATGGTTTCGAAAACGTTTCAAATTTTGAATTAAAGACCGTCACCACTACTGGGCCAGAAGGGATTAGACCACACAGAGAGCCATCGAGGTGACTGTGACAGGTGGCTATCTCATTAACTCAGCTCTCATTTAACATAAGAAAAAGAGGATCATGGGGGACCAACAGGCACCGATTGGGGAAGTTTTCTATATAGAGGGAGCAAGTAGCTACAAGTATGGCAGTGTGCCTTTAAAAAAAAATACTGAATTTGAGAAAGAGGGAGGAGAGAGAGAGAGAGAGGGAGGGAGGGAGAGAGGGGGAGACATAGAAAGAGAAAGAGAGGGAGAGAAAGAGAAAGAGAGGGAGAGATAGAGAGAGAGAGAGAGAGTAGGAGAGAGAGAGAGAGAGTAGGAGAGAGAGAGAAGGAGAAAGAGGAGAAAGAGAGAAAGAGAAAGAGAAGGAGGAGACAGAGAAGGAGAAGGAGAAAGAGAAAGAGAGAGAGAAAGAAAGACAACTAATTATTAGTAAAGAGTACAATAACTTACTTAATCCACCACCTGGAACTCCAACATGACTCCATGGAGGGTCTTTTCGTGTGTACTGAGACATCTCACCTTCCGCTTCTGACCAAGTTTACTGAGAATCTGACAAGGGGAAAAACAAACTCAAACTAAAACATTTGAAAGTAACGAAAAAAATTTAAAAAGTTCCACAGCAGTGTCTATGAATGATGTCTATTCAAAGTGTTCTGTTTACTTGGAGAACAGTTTTTACAAATTTTTAAAATTCTGCAAGTTATAACTACGACCTTGACAGGTTTTTTGCCGACTTGTTAAAATAAAAGCCCAGCAAGAAGCAGATGCGCATGCAGGGAGTTGTTAAATCCAGTGTTTAATAAATTTGAAATTGAAAAAGTTCTTCTTCTTCTTCATCTGCAGTAAATCTTCAGAAGGTTATGCAGCCTATCACGAAGATCTGATGTAGAAAGATTACCATTTTTTGTATGCAGGCACACGTAACACCGGATTTACACCCTACTCTTTGCAAAAAGTGTAGCATATTAACGTGCATAGACAACTAGATCCAAACACTACACAGGGCCTCCAGTTAACTTCTTGTCCGAAGAATGGATCGTTTTCCCCTTAATCTGGGCATGCATCGAAAAACAGAGGGGCGCAATTACACAAAACACACTGCGGTGGCAATCATTATTGCATTTTTGTCTGCCCAGGGCAGGACTCCACCCCATGCGCATGACAAAAATTACCGGTATGCATGAGAGCCAGACAATGATCCGATTGTGTCACACCGCCTCCTCACTCCTGAATTTCAATTTGATTTCACTTTTTTCAGCTCAGTTATTTACTTTTACTAACTTTTAGCTTAAATTTTGAGGAATTAGGGACACTTGGTCTTGGATTTAATCTCGAAAATACTTTCTGGTCTACAGTGATCTTCTTGTTATACAATGAAAACGAAAACTTCTACTCGCATCACAACAAATCAACACCAACTAGCAACACAGACACGTTAAACCCGATCTAAAAACTATCAACACAACACACAGGAAACTCTGGCGCGCCTGGCCCTGCGCTCTGCACACGGCTCTCTACGTACAGCATGCAGCATCGGGAAACGCCGAAGACAAATCGTAACTAAATTTAGGTTATATCTTGTCGCCAGATACGATTTACTAAAAGATAAATATACATCAGTGCATTTGCTTATATTCTATATAATTTTAGACGACGGAAAAAGTAAATATTTGGCAAACTTACCACGAATTAAAAACGTTTTGACCCAAATCAATTTCACACGCGCATTGTTTGCATACAACAATCTTACGCCATTACACGAGCCAATGCACGTGACCAGTTTTCTCCGTTAAATCTAGTACTGGTACGTGTACAACGCTCATAAAGTACAAACAGAAACAGGTATTTACCAGTCTCAAAACAAGCGGCGCCTCGATCGACCTCACCATTTCCGTATCTAAAGACAATCACCCCCGGAAAACTACCCCCAAGGACGTGTCACCCCCCCCCCCCCCCTCCCCCGAGGACAATTATCCCCGCCCATGAAAATTACCCCCTAGGACAACTACGTGGAAAATTACCCCCACCCCAGAAAATTACCCCCCCCCCCCCTGTTCTGGAAGTCTGCCCTGATAATAAGTTGGTTTTAATCTTCTTCAAAATATTCTCATTGAATTACTTTTCAGGGAGGGTAATAACTATTTTGGACTAGTTGTTGCATGCTGTACGGGGCAGAGGCGGCGCCCGCGCCGGGGGGGGGGGGGGGCACAGTGCCCCCACTTTTCAAGTACCCCAAAAGTGTCCCCTCTTACTTTGACAAGTGCCCCTATTATTTTTTCAAAGTGCTCCTTCCCCTTTCCACCTCTGATGAGTGCCCCTCTTATTTTGACACGTACCCCTTTTCCTTTGACAAGTTCACATTTTCCGTTGCAATTAGTGTCCATTTTCCATTCTTATTAGTGTCTTTTTCTAATCTCTAGTAAGTTCCGTTTTTTGAGGTACAAGAAGTGCCCTTTCCCCTCCTGATAAGTGCTCTTTTCATCTTATATAAATGCCCCTTTTATTTTGACACGTCCCCCTTGTCCTTCCTAATAAATGCTCTTTTTCCTTCTTATAAGTACCCCTTCCCCTTTACATAATTACCCCTTTTCATCTTTGATTAGTGCCCCGTTTATTTTAACATGTGCCTTTTTTCTTTTTAATAAGAGCCACTTCCCCCTTCTTATAAAAGCCCCCTTCCACCTCCGATAAATGCCCCCATTAAAATCTGATCGGCGCCCATTTATTTCTTCAAAAAAATGCACATTTCCCTTTATCATTAGTGCCCCTTTTTCATTCTCATAAGTGCCCCTTTTTCACCTCTGATAACTACCATTTTAAACATGATATGTGCTCCTTTTTCCTTTCTAATAAGGAGCATATCCCTTTTTCATAAATGCCCCTTTTCACTTCTTAAAAATGCCCCTATCAAACTCTGATGGGTGCCTCTTTTCCGTCGACAAATGCCCGTTCCCCATTTTTATAAAATACCTTTTCATCCCTGGTACGTGCCTCTTTTTTTAGGTGTAAGAAGTGCCCCACTTTCACCTCTGATAATTAGCCTTTGTACTTTGACACGTGCTCCTTTTCTTTTCTAATAAGTGTCTTAACCCCGCCCCCCCCCCACCTCAGTGTTATTTAGGGTACGCATATGCACGTTCCCTCCTTTTGAAAACACCCCCTAAGTCCGGTGTGTAAAGTCAATTTTGTGTACTACGAGCCGGACTTTGGTGCGTAAAACTTACTCTTTACCGGACATTTTGGTAACACGCATGGTATCCCTCCGTTCATTAAACGTGCCCCTAAGTTCAAGCGCCTAAGAGCAATTCCCCCCCCCCCCCAAAGCTCGCTCGCTACGCTTGCTCGTAGTAATAGCCTAGATGTTATAATTATTTAACTTATCAAAGGTCTTTTTAGTCTTCCGTTATGAGAATGTATATAACCCCATCAGGATTGGGTTTTCCGTCTTTATAAGATGTAATTTTTCGCACTGCGAACTCACAAATCTTAAATATTTTTCCTCGCTTGCTTTGCTCGCTCGCAAATTAATTTTCATACCATCATACCCAACTGCAAAGTATGATGCTTAAGCAATATCTTATATGATGTAAAAAGAGAAACAAATATTAAAATCAACCCTGATAATGTAATCACAATTACCAATGTCTAAAAAAATTGTATATTTTCGCTTTGAGGATTTCCCTTTGAAGGTGCCCTTATTCCAGAAAGTGCCCTTTTTTGTTGGTGCCCCCCCCCCCACTTTGGAAGTCGTTTCAAACTTTTTTTCTTCAAATTTTCCACACTTTTTTTTTTGCAGGAAATTTTCGGATTGGACACCTACCGCTCGTATAGGCCTACTATACGCACCTTGATCGCTGCCCAAATAGGCGGATGCTCTACTCAGGGCACTTCGCTGTCAGACTCCCCCCCCCCCCCTCCCCACCCTCTGCGCCCCATTCCCCTCTTATCCTCTTACCGAGGTTTTTTTATTTCACATACTGATCATCATATATATTTACAACATTTTTACATCAATTTACATTTAAAACATAATAAAAGAAAAAAGCAATTAAAAGAATTATTTTCTTTGTGTTTCGTCAATGAAACACTTTGCTTATTTGCTATATGAATATCGTAGTTTTGATTTGAGATTAATAAACAGACTTTCTTATTATACTCTTTACCATCATCGATAATTTGGATATAAATTATGTATATGACGTTTAATTTGACATGAAGTTTATCACAAAGTTTTCTTTTTCTTCAATATAATAACCTACAGGGGCGGCGATTTCTTTTCATGACCGGGGGAACGAAATGCAATTGACGAGGGAGCACTGGCGTAATGAGCAAAAACGTTTTGGGGGCAGAAAAAAAAATCGCATCACCACCACTCTTACATGTTACGCAGGCCCTGGGAACGTTTTCAAAGTGGGAAGGGGGAGGGGGGTTATAAAGTATTGTGACGGTTTTGGCGTGTGAAATCAGCAGGGAAGAAGGAGGGGGGGGGGGGGGGGTTGATAGAAATCCCACCATTGTGACGGTTTGATAGAATCGGGGAATCAAGGGGGGTGGTTCAGGTGCGGATCCAGGATTTCTTAGGGGAGGGGGCCCAACTTTTTTTTTTTTTGCTCCAGAAAATTTGAAAATCGCGCCGGCCGAAAAGTCGCTCAGTGGGGGGGGGGGGGGGGGGGGGGGGGGGTGGGGGGAGGTACAGAGCACATTTTTTTTTTTTTTTTTTTTTTTGCTCCCGAAAATTTGAAAAACGCGCCGGCCAAAACTTCGCTCAGTGGGGGGGGGGGGGGGGGGGGGGGGGGGGGGGGGGGGGGGGGGGGGGTAGTGAGCACATTTTTTTTTTTTGATCCTCAAAAAAATTTCAATTTGCACCCCCCCCCCCCTTGAGCGCCAGGGGGGGGGGGCCCAACCCCCAAAAAAGGTAAAAATCACGTGATTTTACATGATTTTTTTCTCAAGGGGGGGGGGCCCGGGCCGCGAATTTTTTTTTCCCAAACAGGTTTACCTATGAGAGTAAAATCCTGCCTCCTGATTGGTTCAGAGGTATACGCGTCATGAATATTCACGAGCTGAGTTCACAGCACTGTGGCTGAGCTGCAGTACCTAGTATATGTATTACGCATGCGCGTGGACTTCAGTTTTGCTGGCCATTTAGGTGTACAAAATGTATGTGAGCTAGCTGTGTACATGGTGCGTGCGAGGGGATTTTTATTGGGGGAAGGGGGGGGGGGGGGGGGTCTGTTTGTGAACATTTCTGGTTATTCTGGTGCTTGGTTTATATAGTTTTACCAGGTTGTCAACTAACAAGTCCCTGGTTTTACACTGCGGATTTTTTCTCTCAAAGAGTTCACTTACAGTACACACACTAATATTCCAATTTCACACATAGGCTATACATACAAACACTATCTTTCTCTCTCTCTCTCTCTTTCTCTCTCTCGCTCTCTCTCTTTCTCTCTCTCGCTCTCTCTCTCTCGCTCTCTCTCTCTCTCTTTCTCTATAAACACACACCCACCCACCCTCATGTATTTACAAACACATAAGCAACAAATGCACACACTAGCTGTCAAGAATACACAAAAGACACACACAAAGGGTATGAATTATCTTATCAGGATGGTCCGACATGAGATGGTTGGATGTGGTTCAAAGCCACCGTGTTGCTCTGAGCATGATATCTTGACAAACATTTAATATTATCACCCGTAACTGAAACCAACACACAATTAATATCACGGTATTAGTCTCTTTTTTGTTCCACCAAGCTAATTTTTGCACCTTGCACAAATGCACTTCTCAACACGAAATATTTCACTAAATTTGTTTTGTTATTTTCACTCAAAATTAATTCAGCCATGCTCACTTTTAATCACTTCACTTATATCTTATTTAACATTGAATACAATGCAGTTGCATGGGTTGTTCTTTTATTTTGTTAACTCGGCAGAGGCCACGGTCATGTTCAAGCATTTACGCTTACGACATGTGGTCTCCTGCTTTTTCCTTTTGTATGAAACTTTTATTTTAACTAGAAACAAATTTTGTCAAACTTACATGTTATTCATTATATTTATTTGTATGTTTCTTTGTATTGATATGAAAAAGTGGAAATAAAACAAACAAACAAACATATGAGTGGTTCTGGTTCCTTTGTGACAGATGAACCTGGCCAAAGAAAACAAAGGACATAAAGTAATATATACAGGCTCTACACACATGTCAAAGACAAGCTTTTATTATTAATATGCATACCAAGTGCACATTACACTGATTCATCTCTTATTTAAACATGAATATCTGACTAAGTCCTTTTCAATCTTTATATCTTCAAACTTCTTTTCTCAAGATTATCTAACTTAAATCAGAATCAAAACAATATTTAAAGGACATCCATTTCATTGCATTAATTTGAGCTTTCAACAATAAATACAAACAGCAGGTTCATAACCTTTGACCTACTTTCATGAATTTAAACTTGATATGACATGCACAGGATATGATTTTACATTTTCTGTTATTAAGATACAATCCCCACACACATTTATTTCACTGCCTCTGTCAACTAAATTTGAGACTCCATATATATTGCATGTATGTGTCACTGCTTTTGAGACTAATTCAGAATACATAATAACATAACCTACTGACACTATATACTGACAATTTCAAAGCATTAAAATAAAAAATAAATCCCAATTTTAATTAAAACCTGAACTCTCACTATTTATTCTCAGATTCGAAATTAGACATGAACACTCTATGTGCAAGAATTTAGCATGACCTTTCACATAAAAAAAGTAGTATGAACTATGAACTTTTA